AAGGGGTCCTACAAGAGGTCTGTAACGGTTTTGGGTTTAAGGATCATAGGAGTATTGTTGGGGGTTACAGGAAAGGTACCCACAGTTGTCCATGTACCCAATTAGTATGAAATAAGGTACCCTCCCCCAATTTTCGGAAACTCTAAACCCCTATTTTTTTGAGAGAAAACTCAGCAAAGCTGTACTGCCCAGGAAACTATGATCTACGACATATCTTAGCCAGTCGTTGCCAGGAGCTCTCGCTTCCATGCAGCCGGATGACCAGCTTGCAAAACCCCTATAGAGCCCTTTAATGGAGCCCTTATAGGCACGCTTATAGCAACCCTTTAAAGGAACCCGATTAGTACATCTTCTGGTCCATGTTCTCCTCGGACGTTGGGTTCATGGATTCGGATTTAGGGCTTAGGGTTTAGGGCTTAGGGCTTAGGGAGCACGGTTTAGGGGCTGAGGGCTTAGGGAGTAGGGTTTAGGGGCTCAGGGCTTAGGGTTTAGGGTTTAGGGTTTAGGGCTTCGGGCTTCGGGTCCGCCGACCCTGGCGGCGTGTTGGATGGGTCTCGATGGGTTTGGAGGTGTTACCCCAACCAAAATCCCGCACGCCCTGGCCCCTCCCCCCTAACCCCCCTCCCTCCCCCCCCCCTCCCCCCCTCCCACATCCCTGGTCCCCACATAGCTCCTGTACAGATGCAATCGGCTTCTGCTTTGTCGCCCACGGGGTCGGCGGCTTGAGCCGGAGGCTCTTAAATCGGGCAGCGCTTCGCTGCCCTGTATGGACTGAGCTATGGCTCAGACGAATGGGCTTGTCTTGCGAAGCAAAAACCACCACGGGTTGTGCCGCCGACCCGCCGCCGACCCCGCATCATCGGACCTCCGTTTCTCCATAAGGCCGCGCAGGCCCTGGCCCGGAGGCGTCTCGGAACGCGCACGCGCTTCGCAGCCATTCCCCACGGCATGGCGGGTTTCGGGGCCGCCGTGGACGACCCCAGGAGGCGAGCCGGCGAGCATCATGAGCACTCGGGCGCCCGCAACCGGCCCCGCGGCGCGAAGTGATGATTTCCAAGTTTTTGCGTGGGTTGCGGAAGCCCCAAAAGGGCGCGCAGCATCAGCATCAGCGGGGTCCGGCGGAGGGCGGATGCGGGCTACATGGAGGGCCGACGAGGGCTAAGAGCGTAAGATCACCCATAAGTTGTGCACTTCGGGCCTACGTCACATTTTTGTTCCGGTGTCGAGCTGTCGTTGTCTCGGCACCGTCTGGAAATTTTGACCGTGTCTTTCCCGTTCCCCCGCTTTACATCCGCTGACAACAACTCGCGCTGCCCGCACCTGGGCGCAGCCCCTAGAATTTAGGGCTTCGGGCTTAGGGTTTAGGGCTTAGGGGTTAGGGTTTTGTACCTTGAGGGTCCATGTGCCCAACTAATGTATACCTGGGCCCTAAAGTACCGACATACGGTTGATGATACAAATCCTGCATTACCCATCATAAGGAATATATACCATAACTCCCATAGTTTAGGGTCCTTGAGGTCATGCAGGATTTATACCATCAACCATAGGGACGACTGTCAGACCGAAGCTGCTGTGTGGGCACATGAACCCTTAGGGGTAGTTTAGAGCCTTCGATTGATGATGCAGGAAAGTATCAGGACTGCTTGGGGTGCTCTTGTTTTGGGCCTCCTAGGGTTTAGGGGTTCAGAGGTTTAGGGTTTAGGTTAGAAGGGGCCCCCACCCTGTAATAATGATATAATAGGAATAGAATAGGTCCCTAATATAATCCTTATAGTCACTATTGCAGGGTGGGGGCCCCTTCTAAGGTATGTAGTTTGATATGGGTTTGTAGCAAAGACATCAAGATCGCATGGTACCGTGCCTTCAATTGCGACAGGGGCCCTAAACCCTAAACCCAACTCCCCGCTCACACACAAAACACAAAAACAATACAGTCGAAGCCAGAAAGTTGGAACACCATTATCAGGCCCCTAAGGTACAGAGTATGAGCATAAGGGATCCGATCACAAATCCTCCTAAGGCCCGTGTTCCAACTTTCTGGCTTCTACGAGACCTTCAGTCAAAGGGGAAACGGAGGGACCCTGAATAAGGACCCCTGGGTATATACCTTTAATATAGCTATTATATACCCATTATATAGCCCAGTATAGGGTAGGGGTCCCCATTAAGGGTCCCTCCTTTGCCCCTTTGATTCAGTTCAACCAGCGCTTCGAGTTCTATCCTTACCCCGTCCTGGTCATGGATCCTCCGTCTTCGCATTACTCATACGGTTGATGATATAAATCCTGCTTTTGCCCATAATAAGGAATCTACCGGGATTTATGGTATATTCCTTATTATGGGTAATGCAGGATTTTGACCTCAGCAGTAGGGACCCTTACCTGCAGGGGCAGGGGACTTAGTAAGTAGGTTATGAGTAGGCTCATAATTAGGGAACTCCGTTTAGGGTACCTTTAACACACTTATAACCTACTTACTAAGTCCCCTGCCCTCCAAGTAGGGGGGTAGGGGGAGAGGGCTAGGGCTAGGGGGCCTTCATACCTACAATAAGCGCTCCATAAGGCCTATTTAAGGAGGTATAGTCCCCTACCCCCCCCCCCCCCGCACCCTTAGGGCGCCTATGAATTATAGTGAACCCCAGAAAGTTGGAACATGGATGTAGGATGATCAATGCTGGGAATCAGTATGCTTTACCTTAAGGACATGGGAATATTGCTGTTCCAGTTTTCTGGCTTCTACTGTATGAGAAGACCATGAATAATTGTTGGACGATGACTGACACAGACGACGATGACGGACACAGACACTACGAACAATAACAACAACACCAGGCGGAGTCATCAAAATCCCAATAGTAAGAAGAAGAGCAGAAATATCAACACTAGCATTAGTAGTAACAAGAACAACCAATGTTTCAATATTGGATTGACCCTAGACTCCTACTCCTAAACCCTAGGCCCTAAAACCCTGAAACTCCGGTGCCGCAGAGCTGCAATCTCGGAGACAAGTAAGATCCCCAAGATCCTCGGCAGGCAAAGATGCCCAAAAGCCGCCCGGGGGCCGTACTTAGTAGGGGCTTTAATACCAAGAATAGGGCTTCCCTTGAAGGTCCTATCAAGGCTACTATAGAGTATGGTTTATATTACTAGTATCCCCATAATAAAACCCAATACATACACTCACCAAACTTCAAAAGGAGCCCTATCTACACTCCCCAAAATGGTAATATAAGCCCTACTTCCTATGACTATGAGGGTTCTCTAATGGGGTCATGGGCTCCTCTATAGTATCATCACAAAAATAGGAGCCCTACGGAAGCATATTGGTAATTACTTGGGCTTGTATATTAGAGCGTCTCTCTATGACTCTATGGTCTCTCCTTCACGACCCAAAATACCCTGAAAGTCCTTGATGTTCAACTATAGTACGAAGGGCATAGAGCCCTACTTTCGAGGCTTAGTTGGTGCCGGTGGCTACACTCTCCACTCTGCAGGCCCGAAAGCTGCGACGTCACCCCAAAAAGCCTTCCCAGCATGGCGACGGCATAACCAAAGGGAACCATAAACTCTAAACCGGGTTCATGGTTCAGGTTACGGGTTTTAGTAGCTCTGAACCCTAGACCGTAACCTTGCGTGGGGCTCAAAGGCCCGAACAAGAAGCGCCCAAACCCCAAACTCCCCCGAAGTGCAAGCCCCAAACACCTACAGGAACGCCAGAGACATAACCAAGAGGGTCCATATATACTACTACTATGGAATTAAGCTGCCAAAGCCGTAATAGGGATGGTCTTTCGCGACCTAATTCCATAATTGTAGTACATATGGACCCTCTGGGTAATTAACAAACTCAACAAGACCCTCAAGGTTTGCAACGAAGGATCTTCGACAAGAACTAAGGCTGCCGTCAGTCTTCGTTGCTCGTCGTTGCTGTTGCAGTGGTGCGGCAAAAATGAAAGGTTGGGTCAGGAGACTTAGTAAGTGGTTGCCTTATCGAGTTGTAAGTGCCCTGAAGGGAACCCTGCTTGGTGTTCTGATACCTACGTAAGTCTATAAGTCTACAAACTACTTACTCAATCCCCGGACCCTCCAAGCAGCCCCAAATCTCACAGAGCTGCTTTGCGATGGCGATTTTACCAGCTTTGTGGTGCGGTACAGAGAGAATTTTCAAAGGCTGTCCCTAGATAGGTACTTTGGGGCCAAATCTGTCACTGTATGGTACCCTGAGGAGGGTCCATGTACACAAATACTATATACATTGGCCCCAATGTGCCTATATAGGGACTACTTGAAGGCCAAAGTATATAGAGCCTTAGGGGTATGGACGGCCTGGTTATTTTGGGAGTTTCCGAAAATAACGAAGCCGAAATCCTTCAACCCCGACTCCGGTCCTAATACCGTAGACGGGTTAGGGTCTAGGGGTTTTGGGTTTATAGGGTTCAGGGGTTTAGGGGTAGGGTGTACATACGGTTTAGGGTGTCACAAATACGCCTTGCTAGGATCCCTGATAGAAGGATTCGCACGGTTACAAAGTGTACTCCAAACTCGAGACAGCTCCCTTTTCTTCTTTGCCCACACTTCCTGCCATGTCAACGTGGCAATGCCCGTAGATGCATAACCCCAAGGGTCCAAGTACCTAATAATCACATACTTTCCCAAATCCCTAATAATCATATACTTTCCCAAATCCTAACCTACGTAACTACTATCCTAAAACCGAGTACCTGATTATTGGGTCCTTTGGACCCTTGGGGCAATATAGGGGCCGTCATCATGAGAATAGGGTTTCGAGGTATGCGATGGTATACCCAGAGGCTCCAAAGTAGTTCCTTTTTGGGGTTCATATGTACAATCCTTGTAAGGTAATCCCAAAAAGGAACTACTATGGAGCCTATGGGTACTTACATAGAGGCTCAACGGGCTACTAGCTAGGTATGCTGGTAATTACATGATATAGGTCGACACCGGCTGCACATTGCCTTGAGCTGCCTTGCATTCTGATTATTCCGCATCTGCCAACACGCGTCCTTCTAGAAGGCTGTCGAGCTTCTTGCGGAAGAGCGTGTTCCAAAAACCAAATTCCGATATTTCCCTCATCTCAACTTCTCCGTTTCCCACAAGACGGAGCTCGTGCCCCTCCCTGGCGTTATCAGACTCCGGGTCATCCACATAAGTTGCTTCAAGAAGAGGCGTGTCGCCACGCCTCCAGGAGGGAAGATGGTAAAGACTGTACTCCTCAACATACGGGGCCGCTTCTTGCTCTCTTGACCAAAACATTGCCTTGACTAGAGCGTAGTCTCCTGCACGGGTTACTTTCCGACAATCACAGGTATGTGACCCACTCTCTTGCACAATAGCTTGAACTTTGTCATCGTCGGACATCAGCACTGCTTGCAGCATATCGCCATCCCTTATACCTGCATCCAACATATTCTGACTCTCATTTGCAACTCGCGCATCTGCAGTGATAAGATGCTTTATCAGGCGCTTCATCTCGTTTTCTGCCACCTTCTTCAGAATCAGCACGGTTACTTCCGGGTCCACGTTGCAGGTAATGGCAAAACCGGCCATGGTGGAGATTTCGAGATGAAGGGACATGAAGCGACTGATCTGGTGGGCAGGGATGCTGTAGCGCTTCACCTTTGAGCAAGCACATGCTGCAGGGGTATGGGCGCAGTGCTGCTGCTGGTGGCTGGATAGCCTGCTCTCTGAACATGCACACAATGTCCGGAGGCGGCTGATACGACGAAACAACTGTCGGAATGACTAACCCTAGGATGCCCAGTACCCTAGGAATAAAAGGGCTCCCTCTTTGGTATTCGCTAACTTTATAAGGAAACTCGGACTACAAAAAGGGAGATAAGGGTAGTACTGGGCATCCTAGAACCTCATTCGGAGCCCATCCCAACACCAGCATGACAGGCTCGAGACCGCCAAAAGCATAAAGCCGAAGCCTCGACGAAATCCAAAAAAAACGCTCCAGTCTTCAACCAGGCCACAAGAAGCCCCAACTCTGTCAGATGCACCAAATACGGTTGATGATAAATCCTGCATGACCCGTAACAAGGAATCTACAATAATTCCCATAGTCTAAGGTCATTGAGGTCAAGCATATCAGCAACCGTATCTCCCTAAACCTATAAACCCCAAGAACCGAGGTAAGCTTTGCGATCTAAGACCTCCGAAGCCTGAACCAGGGTTTAGGGTCTAGGGCAGCTCGCAGGCTTCGAGAAACACACGTCCAAAGCCCCGAAACCCTGCAAACCGAGAGCTCCCCCGATGGTTTAGGCTTGGGTTGGTTTGGGACAGGACTATGGGTTTAGGGTTCCCAGAGACTCCAATATCTCTTACTTAAGGAATAGACCTTAAATTATAGTAGGATCCCGAATATGATTTAAGGAATATTCATCAAGTAAGGGATATTGGAGTCTCTGGGTTTAGTGTTTGGGGTGTAGGGTTGTTAAGGGTGTTGGGGTTCAGGGTTAGCGGTGTAGGGTTTAGGGTTGAGGGATCTGGACTTGATGATACGAAACGAATATAGTACCCATCCTAATGAGTAGGTAGTGGGGCGCAGCATAGCGGCAACGTAGGTTAGTATGCGGCAGGAATGTTGGCGCTCGATTAATTAAGGTATGCATGGGTAACCACAAGGGTCCATGTATACTGCTACTGTGGAGTTAGGGCCCCAAAACCATAACAGGGATGGTCTTTGGGGGCCTAATTCCATAATGCCATACCCTACGGCTCCATGTACCATAATAGTATACACTTAGGCCTTAAAGTACCTATATAGGGACCCCTTTAAGGCTTAAGCATCTACTATAAAGGTACATGGAGGCTTTGGGACGGTGGTGGTATATACGGACCATGACGTCCATCTTGTCTCTCCTTTGGAGGGCTTTCCTGTACTTCCTGTTCGATCTGGAAAGCCCATCACTTCCGGAAAGTCTAGGGCGTGACAAAACGACGTAGGGTTCAGGGCTTGCTAGGGTTTAGGGTTTAGGGACGTAGGGTTCCGGGCTTGTTAGGGTTAAAAGCAGAAAGGTTTTCAGGGTTTTGGGTTCGGGTTTGCGGCTTTGGTGTTTATGACTCAGGCCAATTAGGCCCAGTCACTGCAAGTGTTGCCACATGGCTCCACCCACTTTGCTTACCTTCCACCAGGGTTAGGTTGGAGCTTTGGTCAGCGGGTAAGCGCTAAGAGGGATAAGGGTGTCAGGCAGTGTCGCTAAAGGCACGGGCCAGAGGGCTCCATCAACCCGACGCTGAACTGGGCCAAAACCCCTATAGACACAAAAATCACAAAAGGCTGTAAGCCAAAGACTCAGAACCCTAAACTCTACCTTAACCCTGAAAGACCTACCGTTTTAAGGAACTATATATATATATATATATAGAAACCATAATAAGGAACCCTGAAAAGGTAGGTTATTCAGGGTTAAGGTAATCCCTGAACCATAGGCCCTAAACTCTGAACTGAAGTCGTGGAGGTATAGGGCTCCGGGGCTTCCTAAGTGCACGGGCGGCAAAACATCGCAGGACAAAATTCACGGGGTTAACGCTAAACCCTAAACCCTACACTCTAAACCCTAAACCCTAAACCCTAAACCCTAAACTCTAAACCCTAAACTCTAAACCCTAAGCTCTAAACCCTAAACCCTAAACCGAATTTAGGGGCTTGGGGTTTGGAAGCAGCTTTGAGTTCGGTAGCTGGATGCCGGACCCCGACTTAATTCCGTGGCAAAACATTCTTAAAGCAAGCAAAGCGATCCGACCTTTGGGGTCTAGATATACCTTAAAACTTGGCACTGATGAGTGTCGCCGTTGAAGCTTCGGCACCCCAAGATCCTAGCTGTGCTTCAACTTGTAAGGTAAAGACTCTCATAGGCTAGACCCGTTAAGCCCTGAACAAAATCCTATAGAGTTTAGGGGTTAGGGATTAGTAATTAGGGCTCATCAACCCTGAACCCTAATCTCTAAACCCGAATCCCCAATATCTAGCCCGGCACCCGCGGCCCTGCTACGCACAAACCCTGAGCGCCAAACCCTCTACTAGGAGGAGCAGGGGACTTAGTAAGTAGGTTATAAGTAGGGTTATCAATGGGGTAACTCCATTTAGGGTACTTATAATATAACTCTACTTATAACCTACTTACTAAGTCCCCCGCCCCACCAAGTAGAAATCCGAGCCAAGGCGCCAACAAACCAAACTGCTCACCTGAAGCAACGAGCGACCTAGAGACTCCAATATCCCTTAAATTGAGGACTATTCCTCAAATCATATGAGGGATCCTACTATAAGCTAAGGGTGTCTTCCTGGATTAAAGATATTGGAGTCTCTGGCGAGTCCTAACCCTAGGGTGTAATTTGGAGCTACAGGCTTTGGGTGGGTTTAGCGTTCAGCTCAGGCGCTTAAGGCTCATACGGCTGATGGACAAAATCCTGCATGACCCCAAGGACTCTAAATTGTGGGAACTATGGTAAATTCCTTATAAAGGGTAATGCAGGATTTTGTCCATCAACAGTATGTTGCTGCCTCTGGGCTCCAAAGATCTCTACAGCTTGACTTTGGCAACTTTTAAGCCCGAAATGTGGTTGAAGGCGTAGGGCATATAATCGGTACATTGTGCTGGCATAGGAGAAGCGCCCAGGAGCCATTAAAGCATCGCCGATGGAAGCTTACGGGCAGAGAGTTCCGAGATCCAGTTAGGGGTTTAGGGTTTAGGTGTTTAGAGTTTACGGGTTTAGGGTTTTGGGTTTGAGGACTAAGAACTTTATCCAAACATACCAGTCTTACCTGTATTGGTAGTATTAGTTGTATTGTAGGATTATCGTCTATTATAGTATTAGTAATATTAGTGGTTTAGGGTGTAGGCCCTTAAGGGCTTGTTCGGGTTGAGGGTGTGGGGTTTGGGGGATTAGGGTTTAGGGTATGGTACCGAAAACTGTAAACCCTTCTGCTCTTGCTGCTGTTGGACTTCGCGCTTATGCTTGGTGTATTCGGATGAGGGTGCAACAAGCTTGATGCGTGACATGTACTTCCTGTTTCGTCTCCATGCCATCACCCATTGCCTGTACGATCTGCTGAATCAGATCATAAGCCCTAAAACCTAAACCCTGAACCATAAACCCTAAACCCTGAACCCTAAACCCTAAACCCCAAACCCCAAACCCTACACCCCAACTATCGCAGCCCTGCTACATGCAATGGAACGAATAGCGAACAAGGAAGTCCATCTTCTGCCAGGCAATGGCATGACCGCTTCTCTAGACCCAGGAGTAACCTAGGAATAAAAAGGGGTCCTTTAAAGGGTACTACAAGGTTCCTTTAAGGGATCTATCGGGGTTTAGGGTTTAGAGACCCAAGAGTGACCTGGGAATAACCCTTGAGGGATTGGGTTAAGGGTTTAGGGGTTTAGGGTTTTAAAGCCTAAACCCAAGAGTTACCTAGGAAAAAAAAGGTGCACTTTTTTGGTTAAAGGGGCTTATAAGGGAACCTGAACCCCAAAAAAGCGAATAAGGGCTTAATCTGGGTCCTAGTTCTAGAGTGAAAAATAACCCTAACTTGAATGCAACACTGCCAAAACAAAAGTTGCGGCGATAACCCTACGGACTTTGACAAATGATCAACTCGACCCGATGCCGTATATGCCCTTAGCCCTCTAGCCCGACAGGTCTATATACAGTTTGAAAGAGGTCGGAATAGGTTGCGGGCTTGGGGTTAAGCGTAGGTCCAAAACTGTTCTCGCACTCTCACTCTCATAATCACTCTCACTGTCAGTCTCTCTCTCTCTCTCTCTCTGTCGCTCGCTGTCTCTCTCCCTATCTCGCTCGATTCTTCTCTGTCTCTGTCTCTCTCTCTCTCTCTCTCTCTCTCTCTCTCTCTCTCTCTCTCTTTGTCTCCCTCACTTTGGCCCTAAACGCTACACCGCTAAACCCTGAACCCTGGCTTTTTGGGCTGCCAGGCTGCTATTGAGAGTGATGTAGACACAGGTGGTGGTGTTTGCTGTTAGTCGACCACGGTGATGCCAATCAGCCCACCTGAAAGGGTCCAGGATTTAGGGTTTAGGGGTTTAGGGTTTCCTGATTTAGGACTATTACCGCATAACCCTAAACCCTATAAACACAAACGCCGAATGCTTAAGCTCTTCACCCTCAACCGCAAACTCGATACCCAAACCCGTCAACCTTGGCTGCGAACTTTACCTGTGGATCCAAAAACCTACCGTTTATAAGGTTACACCCTTTAATTAAGGGGTCATAACGTACTATTTTGTAGGGTTTGGGGATACAGGTGCATCCTTAACCGTAACTCGGCATCGAAAGCCTGAAATGTAAGTCGTCGCGTCGGTGGGTGAGGCAACAGTTCGGCGTTGCTGGAATGCCTGAAGTAATTACTCTATACTCTGCCTGCCCTACTTAAAGGATCATGGGACTTAATAACTGGGGTTATAAGTAGGGTAAGTACAGCTATAATTATAAATACTTACCACCCCAATTATATAAGGTACTTATAACCCTACTTACTAAGTCCCATGATCCACCAAGTACCATCAACTTGCTCGATCATGTATGTAGCCGAGGGACCCCGGGTGTCAGTATCATTGTCGCGCGGGTCCGTCATCAACGCATAGAGCGCATCCCTACGTAGAACTAAACTCTTTTCTGAGCACGTGCCGGAAAGGTTAGAACTTATCCCAAACTTACCCTTTAACCCTAAACCCTGATACCTTGAACCCGGTTCCGTTCAGGATTCTTGGGGACCGATGAGTGTCAGAGCCTCTCTAGGCTCGGGGTAAACCATCCTTAAAGGATCATGGGACTTGGTAAGTAGGGTTATAGGGGTCCCTTTTAAGGAAATTGGGGTGCTATAAGGGTTTAGGGCTTAGGGTCTACTTGGAGGATCATGGGACTTAGTAAGTAGGGTTATAAGTACCTCATATAATTGGGGTGATAAGTAATTATAGCTGTACTTACCCTACTTTTAACCCCAGTTATTAAGTCCCATGATCCTTTAAGAGGGCAGGCAGAGTATAGTAAGGTAACTACAGTTATAATTACTTATAACCCCAATCAAAGTACTTATAATCCTACTTACTAAGTCCCATGATCCTCCAAGTAACCCCAAGGCGCAAGATAGCCCAAAAGCCTGACATGCCATGGCATTTGGCCTAAAAAAAGTCTAAAAAAGATTGAAACCCCAACCCTAAAAGCCCTAAACCCGCAAACAGAAGACCTAGAATCTGAGTCCTTAGAGAATCTGGGTGCCGTTCTTGGGCTTAGGGTTTTGCAATTTAGGCTTCTAGGAACCCGAGTTGGGGCCACAAGGATTCCCAGACCCCCTTTGGAGGATCCAAAAAGTAGATCCCTCAATGGGGGGTTCCTATAAGGGTTCCTGTAAGGGTCCCTTTAAGGGGTCTATAGGGTTTTAGGGTTTAGATCCCTTTAAGGGGGGGGGTCCTTTTAAAAGGGGGTCTATAAGGATTACTATAAGGGGTATTAGGGGTGTTTAGTATAGGGGCCTGAATAACTAGAATAGGGGTTCCTTTAACGGGGTTCCTATAAAGTACCCTTGGTAGTATAGGGCCCCAAATTAGGGGATCTACTTTCTAGATCCTCCAAAGGGGGTCTGGGCTATGAAGGTCTCAGTCCCTGGCCCCCCAACAATAACAACACCCACCCTCCACAGTAGACAATCCCAGATACTCCAAAATCCCAGGCAACAAAACAGGTATAGCTCAAATCACCACAAGGAACCTACATAATTACAATCCCTGCCCTTGCAAAGCCCCTGAAACTCGATGCATCCCACAACATGAAAACAGCACCTTTGTGCTGTAAACCAAGGTATTCTCCTTATTGAATGGGCTAGAGTCTGCAGGACTTCGCAAGACAATGAGCCGTTCACCCCAGGATCTACAAACCCGGCAACCCTGAAGGTTTTCGGGCTTAGGGTGTAACCACCAAAACCCTATGAAATACCTTAGAGGCACCCCCAAACAAACTTCATCAAGCCCTAAAGTGTCGCGGGCCAGTGGCAAAGTCGGCAGGCACAAAATCTCGCCTTCGCTGATTTTGCAGCACAGGGGTCTAAAATACGCGAGTTTCCGAAAATTAGGGGTACCTTATTTTGGGGCCCTTATAATAAGGATCCTAGTATTTCGGGTAATTACTACATAAGAGTCCCCTATTTTCGCATATCGGGCCAGAATGATCGGACGTGTCGCTTGCTTCGGGAACTTGTCTAAGGGTGCTGCCCCTAACAAACTCGATCCAGGATGGGTTTATCAAGTCCACCTCGAGGCACCAGACTTCTTAACGGAAAATAGTTGTCTTAAGCAGTATGAGGTAATGCATTAGGCATCTAGAAACATGGTCCACCTCGCTGTTTCAACTTCAACAACCCTTATGCTGTGGTCCGTGCTTTCATGAAGCTCACATATTGGCAGCACGATAATGTATGGTAGGGCACCTGTCCCCGATAGAGCATTCATACCCGGAGTTTGCGGGAGTTAAACAATTTCTTTGTTTGTCAAATGTCCTTCGGCAGTCACAATATGGATAGCGTCGCAGTCATTTGATGTCGGCAGTGTCTCCCGAAACCCAAAGCCCTCTATAAGAAAGCTTTCAAGGAGAAGTTTCATGGAACCCTTAAGGGACTTAAGGGAACTCGCTAAAGGAAGAAAACGGTCATTCTTCCGAGTGTATCCCGAACTCTAGTAGGCTTACATACGGGGAGCTTACTACGAAGTATTCGGGGCTGGCATTGTTAGGCTTTGTTGCGTTAAAAGAAAACCTTGAGGCCAAAGCTGGGCAGCCAGGAAGGGAACACACCAAGCAGGAGCAGACTACAGCTTATTTAGCACCTGAAGCGCCGGACTTTTACAGTCGTTGCGAACCGACTGTTAAGAGGCAGCGCCACGAAACCTGACACACACCTACCAGTTTTGGATGCAATCGGATTGGAAACCTCTGACCTGGGTGCTGGTGCAGGACCAAGTTCCTGACTCGATAGCACTCGTTCAAAGGCATTCAAAGGGCTCAAGGGGAAGCCGGATGCAGCAAGGCCTCCTGCCGAAACCACTTGTAGTCAGCTCGGCTTGCTGCCGGTAACACTTCCACAGCATCACAAGCTAGCATCGGCCAGCCTGCAAATTTCGATGCCTCCTCCTGATGGTGGCCCAAAGAGTCAGTCAGTCAGGTACGTCCTGTGACAGAATGGGTGCCGGGGACCACTGCAGAGAGCGCCCCGGCACGTAGTCTTCCGTCGCCCACTCGACACTCAATGCACCGTCAGCCTTGTAATCTACTATTTGCTTAAGAACCCACCAAAAAATAAAAATAACAATCCCTATATTACCCCCCCATAAGGAATATTTTTTTATTTTTTGGGGGTGCTTAAGCAAATAGTAGTAATGCAACCGGAAGCCGGAGCCCTCGAACTCTTAGGGTTTAGGGCTCAGGGTTTAAGGTTTAGGATTCAGCGTTGAGGCTTCAGGGTTGAGGATTTAGGGTTCGGGGTCCCAAACCCGGAAGTCCCGACGAATTGAACGCCATCCAACAAAATCCCTTCACCCCTACTAGGATGCCCAGAAACCTAGGAATAAAAAGGGATCCCCTTTTGGTATTGGGTAGCTTTATAAGGAACCTAAGACTACAAAAAAAAGGAATAAGGGTAGTACTCCTAGTATTTTTCACATACCCAACACCCCATGTGCTAGAGTTGCCCGGGTCCATTTAAAAGCCCTGAACCCCAAGCACTCAACTAAGTGTTTTCCTTGGGGAGTACGGTTCGGGGGGCTCACCGCGGGCTGAATATCTACTTAGTTAGAGGATCATGGGACCTAGTAAGTAAGGTCAGAAGTACCTTAACTTAACTGGGGCCAAACGTAACTAAAGCTACAGTTACCTTACCTATAGCCCCAATGACTCAGTCCCATGATCCTTTCAGTAGGGAGCTCATGGGGCAAGAGTCTAGGCATGAAAGTCCTTACACCCTAGATTCCGAACAGCCATATAACCCCTGAAAAACCTGAACTTAATGCCTAAACCCTGAATCTCCGTCAAAACCCTAAATCTCGGAACACGAAACCCCCAACCTCCAAACCCTAAGCCCTAAATCCCTAAACCCAAGCCCACAGAACCCCAAAACCGTAAACTGCAAAAGCCACGCAGGCCTTCGGCGACATTCGCGCGCTGCTGATTTCCGCCACGGCAGAAGTAGCTCATAGCGCCGGCGTCGATGATATAGACCTAGGGTCCAGGGCTTGCAAGGCTTACCCATATAGTATATAGTTAGGCCTTAAAGTGCGTATATAATGACCCCCTTTATGGCTTGAGCATCTACTGTAAAGGTACATGGAGCCTTTGGGAGGGTATGTTTAGGTTTTAGGGTTTAATTCGGCTGTCTGGGACTTATAGGTTTTAGAGTTTGTGGCTTTACAAGCAAAAGTGATAATTTGGCTAAGCTCTACGACTCGTAAGGCTTGTGAAAGATTTGAGGTTTGGGCTCTAGGGCACTTCAGTACTAAAGGGTCTTTTGTGTTCTGTGGTCAGGGCCTTTGCCGTCCCTGCGGTATGAAAGTTGTATGAGGAACGGACGGTTTGAAGGCGCCCAATGCTGGAGCATCCGCACACAGATTTCTGTGCTGAGGATATGGAGGTGAGGGCATTGGTAGACTTACCAAGCCCCCAAACCCATAACCCTAGCACTGGGCTTTTGGTTAAGGAGAGTGTGGATTGTGTATGATGAAGCTGTTAAGTGTAGACTCCACCGGCAGTAACCCGGTCAAGCAAGCTTCTCTAAGGTCGGTGCATGTGGGCAGTCGGTCCCAGGAATGTACGCATCCTGGACTCTCGGGTCCCAAAACGGCTTAGGGCTTGGGGCCTAAGATCGGGCTTTGATGCAAGGGTTCCATTAATACATGATAAACTACTAGTTGCTTAAGAACCCCCCCAAAAAATGATAATCCCTATATTACCCCCAATAAGGAATATATTTTGTATTTTTTGGTGGTTCTTAAGCAAATAGTAGTGATAGAGTATGGTACTCCAGAACCCACAAAGAAAGGATCACACTGACCGGGGTTCCTGGAAGACTTCCCGGAAGGTTTGTAGACCGGTTTCTTATACTCTCTTCTTCAACAACCGGGCCACGAACCCAGCCAACAAAAACTCAAACTTTCGATGGTAGACCGAGAATTAGGATTTAGGATTTGGTTCAATGTCCCCCCCATTGGCGATCTAAGTTGCATGGGCGCTGTGACGGCAGCAAGGGTTCGCTAATCAAACAACTGAGCTACTGAGGACAAGAGAATCAAGCACAAGACACTAGCCTTACAAGGGAGCAGATTAGGCTTAGGGTTTGAGGAGTTGTGGCATACTCTGAGTTTCGAGTACGAGAATTCAGCCTCCAAGCAAAATCATCCAGACCGACAGCAGCCGAATGTCTTTGCAGTACAGTCATGGAGGCTGTTAGAGCTTTGTTGAACCTTTTCACTGGATGCCAACAAAGCCTTGAAGGTTTACGGTATCTAGGATGCCCAGTAACCTACGTATAAAAAGGGCTCCCTTCTTGGTATTGGGTAACCTTATCAGGAACCTAGGACTACAAAAAGAGAATAAGGGTAGTACTGGGCATCCCTCGTGTGGGGTTGGAGGGCGTGGGGCTCTCTGTAGGGAATAGAATGACATAATTCTTGGGCTCAGGCGGCAGCAGGGTTCGTGGCCCAGGTCGCGATATTCAGCAACAAGGTAGTATTTGGACCCTGAACCCTAAATGGTATCCCCAAAGCCATGTTAAGGTTCCTTTAAACGGGATCTATAAGAGCTACTATAAGGGCTATTGTAAGGATGTAGTATTAGAACCCTAAACCCTAAATCGTACCCCCAGAGAGCCTCTCCACGAAACCAAAAAAGTCCTGGGTCGGGGTAGCGATGTGCTCCGACATGGCACTGTGGCAGAGGTGGCTGTAGAAAAAGTGGTTCTCCTCGGACTCCAGGGTATACTAGGCTATCCGAACACCTAGCCCATACTGAAATAAACCTTAACTGTAAACCCTGCATCGAAGTCTAAACCCTAAGGCCTAGACCGGATATCTTAAACCCCTACTACCTACCCTCTAATACTCCGCTAGTAAGGACCATACGACCTCCATACAGGGCCATTGCGGGCGCCATGGTAGACTCTACAGCCCAAACGCTCAACCCGCAAAACCGTAAACCCCAAAACCCTAAAGGTTTGATGTTTTGGGTTTGGGATCAGCTGTAGGGTTTAGGGTTTAGGGTTTAGGGTTTAGGCCCTAAACCCTAAACCCTAAACCCTAAACCGTCCCTGATTGAAGCTTCGACCTCAGAGTCTTGCTTGTACATCTCCTGGTTGCTGCTTCGAAGGTTTGGAAGTGCTTGCTGCTTGCAATGGAGCTTTAGGTTGAGGGTTTAGGGGTTTAGGGGTTTAGGGTTTAGGGTTTAGGGTTGAGGGTTGAGGGTTTAGGGTTTGGGGTTAACGGTTAAGGGGTGTAGGGCTTGGGCGGTTTGGGGCTTAAGGTTAAGGAGTTTGGCGAGTAAGCTTAAGAAAGTCAGATGCTCATACGGCGGTAGCGACTGGGGTTACCACCGACATCCGAATATCCGAACTGAAACTCCGAAACCCCACAACCCTCAACCCACAAACCCTACACACACACACACACACCCACCCGTTGAAATCTCCTCTTTGAACATCCCTGAACCCTTAACACAAACCACACACCCATACATAAGATGTCGCTCACCAGTTGGATCGACGTGGGCGGATAACGCCAAGCATCCGGTACGTCCACTGTCGGCCAGATACCCAAGCCTCATATTGATCTTGAAACGACCGTAACACTCTGTTGAGACTTGAGGAGGTATGTCTTCAATTGGGGCGGGGGTAAGGTCAATTACTTTGGGTGCGTTGAGGATTAAATTTGGGTGTTCGTGATGACGCGGGTTTTAGGTAGTGTTCCTTTGCAACTGCTGCAGGCAGGCAAATGTTCATGTTGCTGAATCTCAGGGACACTGTCCCTGAGCCCTATGTGAGTGGTTGTCAAAATTATGGTCCCTTTTTGGGTACCCTAAATATTAGGTGCCGTATGATACGAAGGACCCAAAAAGGGACCCCTACTTTTCGGAAACTCCCATATGTCAACCCTAGACCGCAGCTGACGGAAGCTGAACTCCAGGTCTGCATGGCTCAGACTGGTCTGGGTTTCGGGTTAACCTTCAGAGCCCCAGTACCTCAGAAACACGATGTAACACGACATCACTAGTGTAGGAACCTGATTAAGAGACCTTGGGCCCATAACCCCAGTGTTTTAGGATCCATACTAAGAGCCCGAATAAGGACCCAAGGTTTCTTAATCAGGTTCCTACACTACTATCCCAAGCCCCAATAGGGGCTGAATAGCGGATACTTGAACTGTTCGACGATTCGGAACGATGGATCCTTTGCTCGGCCCGACACGAATTGCAGTGGACAAAAGCCGACATCAACTTTATGGTTTACCCAAAGGCTCCAAAGTAGTTCCTTTTTGGGGGGGCCCTTATAGGATTCTCAATATGAACCCTCAAAAGGAACTTATGGAGCCTTATGGTTTGAAGTTTAGAATTGAGGGCTCGAGGGCAGGCCTTCATATTTCCATGTTTTGGGGCCTATGGCTTTGGACTGCGAGAGACCGAAGCCACACGTGACTTTCCTAAAATTAGGGGTACCCTATCTCCGGGTCCTTACAATAAGGATCCTACTATTTCGGGTACTATATTAGGGTCCCCTATTTTCTGAAGCTCCCATACAAAGAGAGGGGCAGACCTCATCAGAAGCGGTGGGCCGGCATTCGGTGCACTTGCAAACGGCGGCATGCAGCCGGTGAGTGAGAGCATGCAGGCCAAGAGACCATGCAGTGATGGTCGAAACATCTCCTCGTGCAGCTGGATCTTCAGCCTGACATCGGTTGTAAAGTGCGGCGTTGGGGTTTAGGTTTAGGGTTTAGAGCCTTGAATGCAACTACAGAAACTGCAACTATATACTCAGTCCTAACACGAAAGCCCTATAAACGCAAAGCGACCCTTGCTTGACCCTGACTCACTGATATGACACGTGTACAATCCTGACAGGAAATCGTACGGATCTCTTTGACATAGAATATCTCTCCCGTCATTTCACACATGGGAGTTTCCGAAAATAGGGGACCCTTATATAGTACCCCAAATAATAGGATCCATATTATAAGGACCCCAAATAAGGTAACCCTAATTTTCGGAAACCCCCACATCCTATCGTCTGATAATGTACTCAACACTGACGGACTTCCTTCAATGCCAGTTCTGGGTCTTTTTTTTCTCGGGCGCCCTTTCGGGTTCAGGGTTTACGAAGCTTACGGCTTTGACACAAGCAGCTTACTTGGAGGATCATGGGACTTAGTAAGTAGGGTTATAAGTACCTTAGTTGGGGTTGTGGGTAATTATAACTATAGTTACCTTACTTATAACCCCACTTACTAAGTCATATGAGCCTTTAAGTAACCGGATTATTGGATTGTGTGGGGGTTTGAGGGGGGTTCGCAGGTTGCTGAGCAACCTACTTTACTGTCCTGGTGAAACCTTGCGATACCTGTGTATACATCAGTCAGTATATGTGTAGACATGGGGAGAGACAGCGGGAGGGAGAGAGAGGGAGAGAGAAAGCAAACGACAGCAATCTAGTGATGTGGCAACTTAGACAAATAGCCCCCCTCATACTGAACACGGTTCCCCGAACCCCCTTCCCCAAACCCTAAAGTAGGTTGCTGCCCCCATGTAAACTATTCAACCAAGACTCCCTAAACCCACCTTCGATCCCAAAAACCCTGAACTCCTCCCTCTCGAAAGGGAGTGTCCGAACCCTTACAGTAATATCCGTCAAGATCCGGAAACTCCCTAAGATGCGCAGATACGCGATACCCGCGAACTCAAACCTGTAAGCTAAACCCGACAACAACACCCCAAGACGCCATGAGGCAACGACAACACCCTAATTGAAACAATATCACCCCTGACACCTAAACAATAGACCGGCGTAGCCCCAAAACCTAAACACCCTGTACCGACCCTGAACCCTATAAATTTGCCCCTAAACCCTAAACCTCTAAACCCCTAACGCTACTGTAGACCCGACGTTACAGAAGCAACCTGACAAAATCGGCCTCTGCGGGATTTTCTGCAGCAAGTCGACCTGATCTTCATGAGCCCCGATGGAGTTTAGGGTTTAGGGTTCAAGGGTTTAGGGTTTGGGGGGGGTGAATCGGCGTCTTTCAACAGGCTGAAAGACTTGAAACCCCCAGCCCCAACAAAAATTGAGGCACAAAGGTTTTAGGCTTGTATCAAAGCCTAACCCGTATAACCCCTACAGATCCTTTATTCTACCCCTAATACCCACTTTTGAGGACCATAAGGGCTCTATTAACGGGCCATTGTGGGGGGGGGTTCCTGGTATAAATCCCAGGGCATGGTCGCTTGAGAGTTAACAGGCCTGTCTATTCCAAAGGGTCCTATAAGTACTTATATTGTAGACTGTAGGGTGTCTATAATAGGAGTTACTAACTATCACGGTTTGGGCAAGTTTCTCCCATAAAGAAATCCGCTAACTTCTACATCGCAGCGGAACCCATGTAAGGCTTAAATCAATTTATAGTACACCTAACACTCCAAGCACCTACTTTGGACTCTAAAGTCTTTAAAGCCTATAACTACCAGATATTTTGGGCTCTTTGGATTCTTAGGGTATTGCTCCTACCCCCACGAACCCAAGCGAACCTCAAGGGACCGACTCTAGATCCTGCAAGCCAAGCTACGTCGCGCTCCTGAACTCTCACCTCGAAGTGGCCGTCCTGACCAGCACAGATGTACCAAGACGGACATGAAGTTCGGGTTTGGGGTTTAGGGTCCCAGTTTTTGGTTTTAAGTTTTTGAGCGTTGGGAGTTGGGGTTCTGGAATCTTTCAGGTTGCCTAAAGACTCCAATATCCCTTAATTGAGGAATATTCCCTAAATCATATTAGGGATCCTACTATAAGTTGAGGAATATTCCTTCATTAACGGATATTGGAGTTTCAGGTTGTTGTGTTTTGGTATGTTTGGGTTTTGTTTCGGGGGCTCCATAGCCGGCTCCATCTTTCCCAGACTTCCTCCATACCCTAGACCCTAAACCCTAAACCGTGGCTTTAGGACTCTGGAAGAATCCGAACAGAATCCTTTTGCCACCCTACACACACTTTAGTCGTAGCCAAACCATGTAAAGCCCTACAAGCATCCTCTATGAACGCTATAGACCCGTCATGTAGTATAGGCTCTGAGACCATGAGAGTAACGAACTCAAATCTTCTCCAAAACCATTCATATCAAACCTGCTTGATGCACCACTATACAGAACCTGTCAAGCACCTTATATACAGACCTTTGCACAAAATCTATAGAACCTCTCAGAACCTCAGAACAACCCTTGTAGAATCCTCATGGAATCCGAAAAGAGCCCTCGTAGAATCCCAGTAAAAATCCTTATAGACATAATACCTAAAAACACTAGAACCCTTGCAGAATCCTCAATAGAACGTTGATCTAGTTGTCAATTTCGACAAGCCGCATAATCAGTCAATTGTAATCAATTAAGGCTCCATAATAACAATTTAACAATAAGGGACCTCCGCAAATATCCCAAATCGATCTCTAGTAGATACGGTGGCATCACCGTAGTCTCTGTATGGATACTGGAGGACCAAATACATACTATTTGGATACATGGGCCCTTGGGCCGTAAACCCTAAAACCATTAAACCTAAAATCCCTATGCGCACTTCAGGACCCTAAACCCTAAAATCCTCAAGCCCTAAACACTAATTACCTTCCCATTATACCATAGTCAACAAGTATTATATAATGAGGAACCCCTAAAATAGTACTGGTATTTATTTAGGCCCCTATATCAAACCCACGTCAGTAGCTAAACCCTAAACCCTAAAACCCCGAACCCTAAAACCCCGAACCCTAAAACCCTAAACCCTAAAACCCTGAACCCTAAACTCCGGAAAACCCTATGTGACCCTAAACCCACTTCAGGGGCCTTTCTTAGTATCCGAAATAGTAGGATCCTTATTATAAGGACCCCAAGTAAGGTACCCCTAATTCCGGAAACTCACATATCAAGCCCCCCGAAACCCTAAACCCTAACCCCTAAAACCCTACGACAAGTATTAATAAGGAGCACCTGTATTTAGGCCCCTATATTAAAACACCCACTTCAGGAGCCTTCTCAAGGACCTCTTGGACTTTGCCGTAGAGGCCCACAGAGAGCTTGCGATCGTTGAAGAACTGGAAAAGCTTGGCCTGACGGGATACGCCGTTTAGGGTTTAGGGTTTAGGGGCTTGGGAGTTTAGAGGTTTAGGGTTTAGGAGTTTAGGGTTTAGGGTTTTAGGGTTTAGACTGCCCCCATACAGTAACAGTCTATAGTAGGGCTACTTATTACGGGCCTCATATGAATGCATTATGAATATTATCCAACTGTTACTGACTGGGGGCAGTACCCAAAGGATACGGTTAACGGCTCCGGGAAAGATCAGGCTCCAGAGTGTACTGGTTTAGGGTTCAGGGTCTTAAGGATCCATAAGGGCTCCTTCAAAGCGTTCTATAAGGGATCTATAAGGGGTTTGGGGTGTAGGGTTTTGGGCTCAGAGTTTAAGCAAACAGGAAAACTGCCATTTAGCTTACCGATATTGGGCTTTAAAGGTTGAAGGTTTAGGGCATAGAATATAACTTACCGATCTTGAGATGGTGCTTTTACTTTTCCTTGCGCACGAGCCTTTTCGATAACCCTAAGGCTCCATGTACCCATATAGTATATACTGAGGCCTTAAAGTACCTATATGGGGACCCCTTTAAGGCTTAAGCATCTACTATAAAGGTACATGGAGCCTTTGGAAACCCCTAAACCCCCAAACCCCCAAAATCCTAAACCCTATAGATCCCATGAAGGATCCCTTAAAGGAGCCCTAAACCCTGATAGACAGGACAAGCCCCGATACAACCCAGCTTCGCGTAGCAGGCCCAAGAGAGCGTCCAATGGCGGCAAGCGCTGTGGGCCGCTGCGTCTAGCAGGCGATGGTTTAGGGTTTTGGGTTTTAGGGTTAAGGGTTTAGGGTTCAGGGTTAAGGGTTTAGGGTCCTTAAGGGAAGCGGCGAGACAAAGCGACCAGAGTAACCGTCGACTTGGGGGAATAAGTTGTGGCCACAGGTGTCGCACCACAGCTGCATTTTAAACCTGCCAAAATGCGCATTCAGCCGAGAATGCTTCGAGACACCGTGTCGTGGAGATGCCACGCACCGGCTTGGCAAAGTACTCCAGCCCCATCTGCGACTGCATACCCATGGTCAGATCCCTGCGGGCATCGTATCTGGGGTCCTGCTGTACTCTTCAAACCAAACAGTCCCGGTAGAATCCCCCCTAGACTGGCACCAAACAAGTCCTCCTGCCATGCCGCGTTCACATACCAGATGTCCCGCGCAAGCACACGCCAAAGCAGACTGCTGAAGTACAGACGCCAGACACGACGGCAACACTTCTGCTGGAGCCCAGAGGCAGGCCCGAGTTGTTTTCATAGTCCTGAGTGTAATTAGGGTAAAACTGAAGAATAGCCTACTTGTCGGGTATCATGGGGAAGTAAAGGTTAACCTTTTTGGTTATATAGGGATTGTGTAGGGACTATACTACCTGAAAAAGGTTAAAGATTACCTACTCCACTACCAGGATAGGACCCAAAGCATCCCTGAACCACAGACCTCCTAACCACCAAGGGTTTCTGAGATGGGAAGTCCCGGAAATAGGGGACCCTAATGCAGTACCCTGAATAGTAACGATCCTGATCATAAGGACCCCAAAAGAAGGTACCCCTAATTTTCGGAAACTCTAAACCACAATCCCTATAACACCCTTTATAGAACCCTTATAGGAACCCTTACAGTAACCCTTGAAAGGACTCCAAAATCAGGTATCCCTTTGTTTTCGGCAAACCCCAGATGGTACTGGATGTACCATGGATGTTTCAACACCCGCGAGCCTGCAACAGAACCCAACCCAACTTAGGGAATGGAAGAATGGTAGTAATAGTAGTTATCACTGTAACCCATTCCTCCATTCCCTACTAACCCAAGGTAACCCAAAACTCAGATGCTGCCTAAGCGTGCGTAATCTTAGCTAATGCCATAACTGCCAACTCCGAAATCTAGATTAAACTCCTCAAACTCTTCTATGGAAGTTAGGGGCTTAATGCCCTAAGCAACTCTGCACCCTAAGCTCTCCAACCTCGCCAAAGCCTTACTAAGCTCTAAACTCTAAACCCTGCGCATGAAACTCTACCCCAAACCCCTAAAGGAGCAACTGAAGAAATCGCACGAGCTCCTTCTAGGAACCCCCCAACCTTAAAATCTAACCCCTAAACCCCTAAACCCCCTAACCCTGAACCCCTGAACCCCTAAACCCTAAAACCCTAAACCCCATAAACCCCCTAAAAACCTCGTATACCCTAAACAACCCCTATAAACCCTAAACTTTAAACCCCTAATCTCCCAACGCGAGCCTGGTGAGCCGACTTTTGGCTTCGAGCCGTCCTCGCGTTAGAGGATGTTTTTGTCATTGTAGGGTAGTAGACCCTAGGGGTTCTTAAAGGGCTCCTTAAAGGGATCTATAGGGTTCCTTAAAGGGATCTATGGGGTTTAGGGTTTAGGGTCTACTTGGAGGGGGGGGACTTAGTAAGTAAGTAGGCTATAAGTAGGGTTATAATTGGGGTAACTCCATTTAGGGTACTTATAACTCTACTTATAACCTACTTGCTAAGTCTCCTGCCCTTCCAAGTAGACCCTGAGTGTCCATGTACTCAAATAGTATATACTTTGACCGTAAAGTAGTCCCTATGTAGGCACATTGGGGCCAATGTAAATTCTATTTGGGTACATGGACCCTTAGGGAAAGCGTTTCGGGTTTACGGTTAGGGTTTGGGGTTTCGGGAATAGGGCTTAGGGTAGGGTATAGGGTTTAGAGTTTAGGGTCTAAGGTTAGGGTTTAGGGGTTTAGGGTTTCGGGTTTAGGGGCTTGAGGTGGGGGTTCAGGGCTTAGCGCCGGCTTAAGGTTTAGGTCTGAAGGGCTTCCAGTTTACATTTCAGGGGATTTGGTTTAGGGCCGTTTCGGGTCTGGGGGGCGTCCTCAGCGAGGCCATGGTGGAGGTGATGGCGGTAATGCAAGAAGAGAAGAGGCCAATGGCCAGCAAGATCACCTGAGCTTAGGGTTCAGGGTTTAATGTTTACGGCTTGTTGCCCCGCTAAAACAACTATTCATGAAATGGTCCGAATAAAGACGGTAAGGACAAGCTACGGATCTTCCAGACTTGCTAGAAAGATGTGGGATAAGTGTCTCTTTGGGTGGATCCCAGAAACTTCCTTTCAAGCAAACCTGCCCCCTCCTGGACCATGACCTGAACCCTCGCTACACACTCTTGAACCCGAAGTGCTTGGCAACCGGAACCGGCAACTCGACAAACACCAAGCTATGTAGAATGAACTGACGCTGTGACCCTGTACACAATAGGGGGTAGGGGGTTGTGTGCTTCATTTTCTTGATATAGTGATCAGAGTTCGATATTATTTCCGACACACCTCCTAAACCCCAAACCCTAAAAGCCCCAAACCCTGAAGCATCCTAAAGCCTAAGCCCTGAAGTGACCAAAATCTACTGCCGTCCAGCTGACAACGACCGCGAAGGCTCGTTCCAGGGCGTTGTCCGGGGCAATGTTATTCCTGAGCTGGCAGCTCATGAACAAGCTTAAGGCTTAGGGTGTAGAGTTGAGGGTTTTGATTTTAGGGTTTAGGGTGCTTGGCAGGAGCGTATTCCACAAATCCTAGACCTTCAAACATCGTCAAACCATAAAACTGCAACCCCTGATTGCACAGTAAGCCCTATGCCCGAGCGATCGAGGCACGGACCCTCTACCCTAGTTAAACCTATCCAGGAACCTACTCTAAACCCTGAAACCTTGAAGCCCTAAACTCAGAAAGCTACGTGGCATAGATTGAACATGAACAAGATACATCGGATCTTTCCCGCGTCAGTATATGGACCGTTGATGAGGTTGCCCAAATTTCAAGATAGCCTTCCCCCTGTATCTGGCCTTCGACCACCCTAATTAAAGGCATCCATAGGCTCGTCGCAGGAGTGAACTGAGTCAAAGCCCAGTGAAGTGACGCTGCATAGACCTGCATATATATATATATATACACATACATGTATATATATATATACACACACAGTTATGTCTACAGAAATATGAATACGCTGTCGAGTGTATGTGCGCACGTAGGTATGCATGCAGCATGTACGCATGTTTGTGTGCATGTATATACATATGTATATGTATGTCTGTATGTGTCTGTGCAGGTCTGTGTGAAAAGGTGTGTGTATATATAAGTATATATACATGTAATTAGGGTACATCCAGATCTCTCACACACACACTCTCTTTCTCTCTCTCTCTCTCTCCTCGCTTTCTCTCTCTCTCTCTCTCTCTCTCTCTCTCTCTCTCTCTCTCTCTCTCTCTCTCTCTTTTATACTTATATACACACAGACATATATGACTTAACACAAAATGTTTGTGTGACATCATATCAGGTTACATGGCTGGAAAAGTCTTCCAGGCCCACCAGAGCCTGCACATGTAGACGTGTACATGTGTGTATGTTTATAAATATAAGTATGAATATAAATATTACTGTATCGATATATATATATATATATATATATATATATATATTTATATTCTGAATATTACTGAATAAAAAACGAACTAACATGCGGGGTCAACAAAGAAACAAAGATGAATAATGATTTCACAGATGGATGTTTGGACTTATGAGTCAAAGAGGGATTGAGTGAAAGAGTGGGTGAGTGAATGCGCGAATGAGTGAATGGCAGACTGACTTACTGAGTGGCTGGCTCACCGCCTGCATGCATGAACTGATGGATAAATGAGCCTGTGAAAGAGTCAGTCAATGAACACGCATGAAATGAAACCATAGACCCTTAAAAGTAGGGGCCCTCTACCCATATACTATGAATCCCTATATGGTATATGGACCTTAAACCCTTTTAGGGTTCATGGCGTCCTCAAAGAAGGAGTTTGTCCGCTTCTGACGTTTTGCCACGGTGCTACAGGCGCCTCACAGACTTTTTAACGGCTTTTTCCCTTTAAACCCTAAACCCCTGAACCCTGAACCCCTAAACCCCCAAACCCTAAACCCCTCCTAAACCCTGAATTCCCTGAGTTCTAAACCCTTGGTTTAGGGTTGAGGAGTCCGAATTTGGTCCAGTGGTTTATAGGGTTTGGGCTTTAGGGTTTTAGGTTTAGGCTTTAGGGATGTAGGGTTCTAGGTCTTGGGGCTTTAAGGGTTTACTTTTTAGGCTTTAGGCACTTGGCGTGTTGAGGATTCAGGTCTCTTGCCGCTCCGGGGCATGACCTGCGTGAGCACTCGTGGTGATCTTGGATCGAAAAGCTGCACCTATTGGCAATAGGTCTATGGGTGGTTGGCGCTGCGGTCATCACTCTCGCAGGCGAATCAAGTCCTGCCAGTGCCATGCGGTTTTCGTCCATCTGTAAATTGAGCAACTCGTTTTACAAGCACCAGCGTCAGTTGTACGATCGGTTGGGGCAAAAGTGTGTAGCGGCAGTCACGAGCAACGCGATCGCCCGACCGCTTAGCAAAGTCAGCAGGCTGCCAACCGACGTAGCCTCCTGGAAAAGGGCACCAAGGAGGTCGCACACGGACGCGGCCTCCTCGGAAAGGTTAAGGCAGTCATCATGATAATAATGCGCCCTACGCATAACCCTAAACCCTAAACCCCTAAACCCTAAACCCCTAAACCCTAAACCCCTAAACCCTAAACCCCTGAAACCCCTAACCCCTAAATCCCTAAACCCCTACACCCCTAAACCCTAAACCCCTAGACCCATGAGTCTTCAGCCCTGAGCCCTTTGGGCTGCGCTCTGCTGACGGCGTAGGATGCCATTTTACCCATAGGCCCCAAAGTAGTTCCCTGTTGAGATTACCTTTGGCCTAGTTGCTGAGTTCATAAGCCCCCCAAAAGTGTACACTTTCAGTTTTATAGTGGGTAATACTATCCAAGAAAGTGTAAAGTATATCCACTCAGCTACTAAGATAGGGTTCTAAATGTGAACCCCAAAAAGGACCTACTTTGGGGCCTTAGGGTAGGCTTAACCTACACCGCGAAACCTAATTCCAAAAACCCTGGCCCCTAAAACACGATTCCGAACCCCTAAAACAGAACTTTGGGTTCGTCATGCTGAAAGATCCTTACCAGCGTTACCGAGAAGACCCTTAGCGGCCTAACACCCTAAACCCAAAGTTAACCCTAAACCCTAAACCCAAAACCCTAAATAAACCCTAAACAGAATCCTGAGCCACAACAGGCCTGCGCAAAAGGCGCGTCCTGAATCTGCACCTGCCGTTGGCTTCGTGTTGGAGGCTCTGGGAATTCACCAAGTGAACGCGATGCACTTTAAAGGGGCCCTAAACCCTAAACCCCAAACTTTAAACCCTAAACTCTAAACCCTAAACCGTTGGGGTATGGGGCCTAGGGTTTTAAGCCCGTGGTTTAGGGCTTGGGGTCCAGGCTTATTCCCCTCATGATTTAAGGCATGCTCCTTACACAAAATGATTCGGAGTCTCTGGGTACTCACTTGGACAAGGATACAAGCACAACCTCATAAGACTGTTTGACTTCATTCACAGGTACGGGGCTCTCTGACTATTATTCCGGACCAGTGAAGCTTGCAAATCCTTAAGACACAATGACACCAATGCTTAAGTTGAGGTTCATGGCCCTGGGTAGTGAAGTGTAGGGCTTTGTGTACAGTAACTGTAATGATGATTCGTCATGTCCCGACGCCAGGTGCATGTGCAAAACCAATAGGTAGACAGTTACATAGCTATTACTCATGATGGACATACTACTTAAGCCATATATACATGTGAGTCATCCCTATTTTGAGCCATCAACCAAAGCCTCCAGCAGCCAGCTGCGGCCATCGAGGTACATCGCACCGATGCCGTACCTAAGGTTTCGTGTGTCTTTTGCAGGTTTATGAGTATCGGGCTTAGGGCGAAGAGGTTTTCAACTTGTTGCGCACTTTGGCGCACTAGAAACATTTACAAAACCGTGAACCGTAACCCAACTAGAGTAGTTGAAATGCAAACAACTCCACGCTAAACTGCGATGCCCCAGCGCCCAAACCCCAAGTTGCTAAACCCTATAACCTTATACAATGAAGGTCTAAAACCATGCATTCCTAATCCCTAAAACCTATATTCCTTAACCCCTAAACGGCAAACCCCTAAAACCCTACACCCTAAACCCTCATTCCCCCAAACCCCCAAACCCTCCACCCCTTCGACCCCTAAAGCGGCAGGGTCTGGCACGGTAGGTTGCTCGGGTATGCCGAAAGCAACTCCAGGGTCTACCTGGAGGCCTTGTTCAGGGTTTCTAGTTTAAGTCGAGGGTTTAGGGCTTCGTATTTATAGGGGTTTAAGGCTTAGTTCAGGGTTTTTGGGGGTCAAGCGTTTTGCTTAGGGTCTCGGATAAGATGGTTGAAATTTCGCTGCGACTGTAGGGTTGAGTTGGAGGTTTAGTCGTGCGACACAGGCTCCCGGCACACACCGGGACCCTGAACCCTAAACCTGAATCATGACGCTCTCTCTCTCTCTCTCTCTCTCTAAACCCCCTAAACCCTAAGTCCTTCACCCCTAAATCATGAAAAACCTATAACTCGAAAACCCTAAACCCTAACCCTCTAAACCCTAAGTCCTTCACCCCCAAATCATGAAAAACCTATAACGCGAAAACCCTAAACCCTAACCCTAAATCCTGAAACTCTAAATCATGAAAACCTATAGCCCCTAAACCCCTCTATCAAAACCCCCTAAACCTTAAATCCTTAAACTCTACATCACGAAAAACCTATAACCCGTATACCCCTCAAACTCTACATCAAGAAAAACTCATAACCCCAAAACCCCTAAACCGTGGCTCTGCAGGGTTTGAGGTGTAGGTCCCTCAACGCTGAACCCTGCTCGAAGGATCCGCGGGGTGATATGCTTATAGCTTTACTTAGGGTTTGGGGGTTTTAGCTTTAGGGTTTGGGGGTTTGGGGGTTTAGGGTTTAGGGTTTGGGGGTTTAGGGTTTAGGGGTTTGGGGGTTTAGGGTTTAGGGGTTTAGGGTTTAGTTAGGGTTTGGGGGTTTAGGCTTTAGGGTTTGGGGATTTGGGGGTTAGGGTTTAAGGGTTTAGGGTTTACGGTATGTTTGTGGGTGAAAGGTAGCACCGCAGCTAGGGCAACCCCGACTAAAAGAAATTGTGGGGCCTGTATAATTGGACATACCCCTTCAACCGTATACCCTACTTACCATGTCTCCGAATCCAGCAACTTAAAACATCTAAACCCCACTGAGTGCTTGAAACCCAGTGGCCACAGGCACGCAATGATGTGGTTTACGAGGAGCATCACCAACACAGCCACGATCACCTCTTGCTTCTAGTAGGGACCCTAATAGGGTTGGATTAGGGGTTTAGGGTTGGGGCTCACGAAGAGGCATATCCCGCAATCCACTCTTTACGTAAAACAAGAAAGCACGTACGTCCCGTCTAATTTGGGGGTGAACTTCTGGTTTGAGATTTAAGACCCCGCACTTAAAGGACCAAGGGCTAGTAACTGAAAGGGCAACTCAAAAGGTTGGGGCTCTAGAATAAGGGTCTACAAGGGTTGAGAAGTTCGTACGGATCATGGGACTTAGTACCTATGCTCATACTACAGTCGCAATTACCCTTGGAACCTAAAACCCCACGTACTAAGCTATTATTTGCTTAAGAACCCCCAAAAAATGAAAAATATATATTCCTTATAGGGATAATATAGGGATTATAACTTTTTATTTTTTGGGGGGTTCTTAAGCAAATAGTAGTAAGTTTCATTATCCTAGAGGCATGTCTGCTAGTCGCTGGAGCCCTGATGAAGGACACCATACTGAGGGTTCCTGGTTTATGATTCAAGGTACAGTAGCTACTATGGCATTTAGGGGTTAAGGTTTGACAGCTTGGGCTTAGGGTTCAGGGCACTCCTCTTCCCTCAGCCCCTCGGCCAGTTTGGCACGACCAGCCCAACCGTTCCGCTCAGCTGTTTCCGTGAAGGCTGTTTACGGTTTAGGGGTTTAGGGTTTAAGGGTTTAGGGATCAGGGTTTAGGGTCGGAAATGAGCCCAAACAGAGAGCAGCTCTATCAAAAGGCTGCCCCCATGGGCTTTGGAGGGTTCCCGTCGCATCAAGCAAAGAGGCCCAACAGCCCATGGGTTTTCTGTATATATTCATTCAGGAGTACCTTAGGGCTCCTTTAAAGGGTTACTGTAAGGCTACTATAAGGGTTCTATAAAAGGGCTTAGGGCTTACGGTCTAGAGTTTCCGAAAATTAGGAGTACCTTATTTTGAGGTCCTTATAAGAAGGATCGTACTATTTAGGGTGCTATATTAGGGCCCCCTATTTTCGGAACTCACATTTCCGCTCACGGTCCCAGCCGGTTAGCCAACCTATCCAAGAGAGTAGACTAGACCTGTCCACACAATCAAAAGCTTTGTTTAGGTCCACTTTGACAGCACAGAGCGGCACTCCCCATTCACCGCTGAACTCACAGATTCGATGCAAAGCAAACAGGAAAGTTCAGCGTCTTAGGGCCTAGGGTTTACCCATAGTATGCCCCGTAGTAGTTCCTTTTAGGAACTCATATTTAGCATTCTATAAGGTAATCCCAAAACGGAACTACTTTAGGGCCTAAAGTTTAGGGTCTTAGGGCCTACCTTAACCCTGAATAACCTACCTTTTTAAGGTTCCACATTATGATTTCTATGTATAAGTCCTTGAAAAGGTAGGGTCTTAGGGGCCTAAAGGCTTGAGAGTTCAGTGTAGAGAACTCTTATAGAAGTCCTGTAGGATGCTCACCAAGACCACTGAACCTTTCAACAAACCTTCTAAGCCCTAAGCCCTAAACCCTAAGCCCTGGAACTACGAGGCTTTGGGTGAATATAAGGACTCCTTCTGCGATTCTATCAGGTAGCCCTGAACCTTTCAAGAAACGGGTTTAGGGTTTAGGGTAGTCCCTACATCCCAAGCTCTAATCACCCTAAACCCTATCCTTAACCGCTAAACCCTCATTAAACCCTGCACCCTAAGCCCGGCAAGTTAGGCTTCCTTCCGACCGAAGCCCCGAAGAGCATACTGGTGCCTAAAGAAACCCGAAGCCCTCGCGCAAGTTTATGGGTTTGGGGTTTCGGGTTTATTCTCTGGGAGTTGAAGGGTTTGCGGGTTTAGGCCTTGGGGGTTTAAGGATTCAGGCTTTAGAGGGTGGGGCGGCCTCTCCGGAAGTTGGGTTTAGGGCCTGAACCCTTAAACTCAAGCCCCTATAAACCCCCAAACCCATACCCTAAACCCTAAACCCTAAACCCTAAACCCTAAACCCTAAACCGTGTCGGGTATCATGGGGAACTACAGGTTAACCTTCTTGTTTATATAGGGCCATACTAGCAACAAAAAGGTTAAAGCTTACCTACTCTACTACTAGGTTGAGGGTTCCTCATATCAGTCCTACAATACCTTAAACCCAAAACCCTAAACCCTAAACCGGGTTGAACGGACTGGGTTTCTTAATCCCTGAGGGTTTAGGGTTTCTTGAGGGTTCAAGGCACCTTGGAAAGCATGAAGGCGTGGGTGGACAACAATCCTCGGCAGGATTGAGGCCGTTAGCGTGTTGTTTCTTATTTTTTCGGGGGGTTTAGGGCTTAGGGTTTAGGGTTGGGATTTGGGTTTGGGGTTTAGGGATCTGTTTTGAGGGTTTGGAGTTGAGGATTTTTGGCAAAATGGGGCTTCGTTGAGGGTTGTGGAAATCGGCGGTTTCTACGGCTTAACTACAGTAAGGTTCAAATTTTGTTGAAGGCTTTAATACTCAGGGTGCAGGGAACCTCCGCGGATTCCGGTGAAGACTCGCTATACCTGACTAGACCTAAGAGTAACCGAGGAATAAAATCAAAGGGTGCCCTTTTTGGGATAAAGGGGGTCATAGGGGAACCTAAACCCTTAAAAAGGGAATAAGGGCCTACTCTGGGTCCTAGCTGAAGTTACAGAGTGACCCTCAAGTTCAGATCAGAGTTCATTGTAGTATCCTTAAGGGAGGGCGGTCCAAGGGGGGTATATAGCCTAGTGATCCCTAATTCTCCCTAGTACTCCCTAAGGTTCCCTTACAGTCCCCTAAGGATTCCTTATAACCTCCCCCCTTGAACCACCCTCCCTTAAGGATCCTATAAGTTCAGGATGACCAGGCATACTCCTCAGTTGATACCCCGTAGTTAACTAAGGGGTATCTAATAGTATCATCATCCTCGTGGTCCTCGTCAGAGCCATTAACCTAAACCTTAAAGCCCCTAAACACTAAAAAAAACCTAAGCCCTAAAACACAATTATCGAAATCATCGTCGCAATCCTTTGCATCGTCTTTGTGATCGCTATCGGCATCTTGCATGTCGCGCTCCTCGGCCCCCTTAACGCGTCCACAATCCACACACGAAATGCTGAAACGGTCTAGGTTCGGGATTTAGGGTTTAGGGTCTAGGGTCATTCGGATTAGGGATTAGCGCCTAGCCTGTGACTATGCCAGACTGAGGCTTCAAGCGATACAAATGTTCCACACGACACTACGCTGGTCACAGCCAAAGTTCAAGACTCTCTCTTACGGAACCTAAAGTGTAGCAGTGTTAAGCATTTGAATAGGGATTTGGACTCCGTTATCGTATTGTTATAACAAGAAGGAACCCCAAAGAATAAGCCCTGGGCCTTAAACTCTAACTGCACTTCAGATCCAGTTTCTTCTGCCTTCTGGCCCAGCCATCGAATCTCTGTCACTGTAGCTGCAGAGTACAACACTTGGGCACGGAATCTATTAACTTGGTGTCCATCCTGTCCTGAAGCTTCTGGGCTCTTGGGACCTGGAGCAGCAATACTATTTTGGGGGTTTCCTTTTTTAATTTATACTATACTGGGCCCCAAAACCCTATGCTAAGTATTACGGCCCCTATGTTATAATACCCGTTTAGATCCCTTCGAGTCTCCTCCATGATCGCCCTGAGATCCCCTCCCCTATGCTCTCCCTGGTCTTCTCGGCTTCCAGCTTGGCGAAGTTTTCGGGGACTTCGCTGTCGAACTTGGCCTGATGTGCCTGGCATGCTGCCTGGACATCAGCATCCAAGGCTCACCTTTTGAGCAACAAGATCCTGTCCAGGCCTTGGGCTCGCGTTTTCCACATCTTGGCCCTCCTCTGCTGCATGCTTTGTCTCAAGTAAGGTCAGTCTCAGTGGGAGTTGCAAGTGACAGCTTCGGGCGGGCGGCCATCTATATGACGACTCCAAACATTGAGGGGTCGAAGGACCTGAATCCTCCGGGCCACTATACCACAGATATATAGGGGTCTACACACGGCAGGCCCAGATCCTAAAAAGAATCCGACAATTTATCACTTTGGCTTTTGGGAGTATATGATACTTATGAACCTTAAACCTGAAACCCTTGGACAGCCTGGAGAGCCACTGTGAGGATCTGTTTGAACGCTTTTAGGGTTTGGGCTTTAGGATTTCAGACTGGATGTAGAGTTTTGGCTTCGCTGTTTATGGAAAGGATCGAGAATGCCTGAACCCCCAAACCCGATTTTATAGGGTTTGGGGCTCGAGGTTTAGGGCCCTCTACCAGTAAACTACCCAACCCTAAAGCCCGGTACGAAATTTTTGGACTTGGCCAAGGCACGATTCGCCACAATCATCAGCTCCTTCGGTTAAGAGTCTCCGGCTCAGGGTTCCCAGAGACTCCAATATCCCTTAATTAAGGAATATACTTTAAACTATAGTAGGATCCCTAATATGATTTAAGGAATATTCCTCAATTAGGGGATATTGGAGTCTCTGGGTTCAGGAAGGTGTATGGGTTTTGGGTTCAGGGTTTAGGGCTTAGACTATGCAGTACGGTTGCCAATAAGCGACTCCAGCCCAAGAGCTTCGCATAAAATAGTCTTAAGGCCCACATGCCTCAACATATAAAGTAACAGAAACCCTGAACTGCCTAAACCCCATAAGCCTTAAACTCTATAATTTGTACCAAAACCACCCAAACCCTAAACCCGAAGCCCTCAACCATGTAAACCCAAAAACTGCAAACTCTGAACCCTATTTATGAGCCCTATCAAAGCCAGTCCTGCTGGAGCTTCGCGACCCGCAATAGTCGTAGTAAGCGAAGCAGCCTGCCGGGCTCCGCTGCCCAAGGATTTGGGTTTAGTTGAGTTAGGGTTTAGGGTTTCAGGGTTTAGAGGTTTGGGGTTTTAGGGGTTAGAGTTTAGTTGGTTTAGGGTTTCATGGAAGAGCTGCAGGCTTTTATGAACTTTTGCAGCCATGTAAACTGGTGGTCTGGAGTTGTCAAACGCTTTCTTGGCCTTTACAGGGTTTGTGCAAGACTTATGAGGTTTGGGGTCTAGTTCTAATTCTAGCTTCAAGGAAGCGGCTTCTTCGTGAGAAACAGGATCGTTCTCACATACCGCGTTCGGTAGCATCCCCCGCCGGTAAACCAAAAGTAATAACCGGCTCCCGAAGCAAATCAACACTGCCGCCACGACCACACCAAGCGATGTTAACGACAGACGTAAACATGTCACAAAGGTCACAAAGCACTCACATGCCCAACGCTGAAACAGAAGAGCTGAAAGAGAACAACAGCAAACAACCCCCCTCCCTCACACGAAACCACCCAAAACGACAAAACACATTAAACCCTCAACCCGAAACCCCTTACCCCTTAAACCCTACAAACCCCATTCGCCCTAGAGGCCCTAAACTCTTCTGCACCACCTGGAAGCCCTGAACCTCTAAGAAACCCTACCTAGAGCCTCCATTGTAGTTCCTTTTCTTGGTTTAACCAAATATGTAATTAGGATCATATAAGGTAACCCCAAAAAGGAGCTACAATGGAGACTAGAGGTAAACCCTAAGATCTGGCCTCAGGCTGCGAAGGAACCGGGCAGATCTCCAGACGGCCTGTGAACGCATCTCGACCTCAGGGATAAAAGATTCCCTTTGCAACTGAGGAGCCTTTTTTGGGTTTAGGGCTTAGGGAATAATTAGAAGAAGGTTGTGGGCTCCTTTACAGTATGAGCACAGTAAGGATAAAAGGTCACCCTCGCAATTTTGGTACTGTAAGGGCCTCAAGAATCAGAACAAGGGCTTATGTACAGTATAATCATAATAAGGAACCGTAAGGAAAAGTATTGTGTCTCGGCTTCTAGATTGGTGTGAAGTGACCAAGAACTGCAACAATGCCGTAAAACCACGAACCCCAATACTGGCGCTGTCGCAATCTCCAGCTGCAGTGCCAAGCTCGATAAAACCATCTTAACTCCAGAAACCCCTTAGAAAACTCTTTGAACCGATTATGCAACCGGGATAAAATCCTATTATCTCCGCAGGTTGGGTTCGTTCCTGGCTGAAGCCACGGCACCTGCTGCATGATCTCAATCAAGACGAGCGTAATGTCTAGCGAGACCTCGGTATGGTTGGGGATGTATGCTTTAGAGTTTACTATAAGGGTTTTTGATTAGGGTACCCAGAGGCCCCAACGTAGTTCCTTTTTGGGGTTACCTTATAGAATCTGACCCCCAAGAAGGAACTACTTTGGGGCCTTTGGGTAACTACACTTGTAAGTTTTTACAACACAAAGCCTGGTCAAGGTAGTTGTCACCGTACGTGCGAAGTCCTATGATCCCCTGATTCTTTAAATAAGCCAAAGCCGCATCTCTACTCCCCTTAGAAGGTATAGAAAACAGTATAGCTCTGAATACAAGAAAAAACGGAACAACACGGAATAAACCACAAGCCACAAGTCTCCAAAAGCCGTGTAGGTAGACTCTTCGGACTTGTCTGAGGCCCTAAACCATTAGCCGCCCGCGCCCGGCGGCGGCCGGTACCACTGAACGCTACCGCTTCGAGATCTGCTTGCTTGGCCAAGCAGATCGAGTCTACCAGACCTGATTTGGCACTGCTAGCCATGGGGCACAATAGTAGAATTGGGTACCCTTATCTCCCAGCGCGAGAACCCTGGCGGGGACGGGACCTGGTAGAAAGAGCTTGACGAGCGACCCTGGCGGGTATGGCGGGCGACTCTGGCGGGGACGGCTGACGACCCTGGCGGGGACTTGGTGGACGGGCGACTTTGGCGGGGACGGCGCGCGACCCTGGCGGGGACGGCGGGCAACCCTGGCGGGGACGGCGGACGACTCTGCTGTGACAGCAAAAGGGCCAAAAACAGCTTGGCAGACGACTCTGGAGGGGGACGGCGGACGACTCTGGCGGGGACTTGGCGACTCTGCATGACAGGGACTGAAAAAGCCAAAAACAGCTTCGCAGACGACTCTGGAGGGGATGGCGCCTTATCTCCCAGCGCGAGAACCCTGGCGGGGACGGGACCTGGTAGAAAGAGCTTGACGAGCGACCCTGGCGGGGATGGGTCGATCCTCTGGCGGGGACGGCTGACGACCCTGGCGGGGACTTGGTGGACAGACGACTTTGGCCGGGACGGCGCGCGACCCCGGCGGACGGCGGACGACTCTGGCGGACTCTGGAGGGGATGGCGGACGGGACCGGGGGGTGACCCTGCGGGGACGGCGGACAACTCTGGGGGACTTGGCGATGACTTTGACAGGCACGAAAAGGCCAAAAACAGTTTGGCAGACCACCCTGCCGAGGACGGCGGGCAACCCTAACGGGGACGGCGGACACTCTGGCGGGCACTTGGCTTCGACAGCAACTAAAAAGGCCAAAAACAGCTTGGCAGACAATTCTGGAGGACGGCGGCAGACGGCGGGCGATCGTGGCGGGGACGGCGGACGACCCTGGCAAGGACGGCGCAAGGACCTTGGCGGGGACGTCGACCCTGACCAAGCGACCCTGGCGGGGACAGCGGGGTGACCCTGCAGGGACCCAGTGACGGGACATCCTAGAAAGAGCTTGGGGACAGTGGCCGACTCTGGTAAGGAGCTTGGAGTGCGAGCCTGGCGGCAAAGCTGGACAATTCTGGCACGGACTGCCGGGCGAAAAAACCCTGGCGGCCGACTGGAGGCCCTGACGGACGACTCTGACGACGGCTGACGGACGACTCTGGCGTCCGAAAACAAAAACGAGCGAGGGCGTCGCTGCTATTTTGTGACTACATCACTCGGATGTCCCTTTGACGTTCCGCAACATTGCAACGTCTTTTCGGCTAGTGCAGCACTCGAATAAGAAGAAGCAGAACACAAAACCCGTTCTAGTCCTGCTTCGGGTGGTTGTGGGTGGGTTCCACATTACGAAGACGGCGCGACCCACGACCACTCCATGGGTGGGGCGCGCCGTGGCACTGTGACACACCCTAATTTAAACCCTAAACCCTAAACCCTAAAACCCTAAACCCTAAAACCCTAAACCCTAAACCCTAAAACCCTAAAACCCTAAACCCTAAACCAGAAAACCCTAAACCTGAGGCCTATCCAAATTTCCCGAACCGGAAGATCCCAGGACTTAAACAGGCTCCCTGGATGACTCACGCCGGGCATTCTAACTACCCAGAGCCTCCAATATCCCTTAATTAAGGAATATACCTTAAATTATAGTAGGATCCCTAATATGATTTAAGGAATATTCCTTAATTAAGGGGTATTGGAGTCTCTGGGTATGGTGTTCCAACTTTCTGGCTTCTGCTTTATGGGAAACAGCCAGGGTTTAAGGGTTCAGAGTAATCTACTTGTCTATCTCGTCATACATCTGACCCTGGGGCATCTAGTGTGTGCTCGTGACAGAACCAACGACTGCTAACCTCCATTCCCTGTTACTGTAGATACTGGGAACACACCAGCCGTTTCTGGTATGGTCTTTGGGCCCAAAACTTGAATATATGAGTCCTTAGATTCCGAGGGACGGGAGCAAAAACGGCAGAGCATATACCGCTGACTTAGCCCGTGGCTCTGGGGCTAAGCCTCACTTTTGAAGTCAATTCTCGACCCGGGACACGTTTAGCTGAACACAGGGAAGGAACTCAAGCCTAAATCCCAAGACTCAGGCTCCAAGGACTCCTTCTTCCCAGAGCCTCCAATACCCCTTAGTTAAGGAATATACCTTAAATTATAGTAGGATCCCCAATATGATTTAAGGAATATTCCTTAATTAAGGGGTATTGGAGTCTCTGGGTTTTCAGGCTTCTGATGCAAAAGACCGAACTACATCAGTGATGTACGCAGCCACGTGGCCAAGGCCACATCGATGGCGAGCCACGAACGAGCGTAGCGCCGTGCTAGAACGGACCTCTGCGGCATAAAGGGTTCGTACTTTGAGGGACGCGAGACTTAGTACGTAGGTTTTTTGGTAGACTTACAAGTATTATATATTAAGTCCACCGACCCTCTAAGTAGAGTAAGGAGTGGGTTTAGGTTTTAAGTTTATGATTAGGGTTCAGTGGCCTTAATAATTAAAATATATTAGAATAGGGTCCTGGGGCATATTGTACCATAGTTATAATAAGGAGCCCTGCAAATTAGTATTGTCAATTATCTAGGCCGCAGTATTAAGGTTCAGGGGCCAGTGATCATGCTGGCGGAGCGACTTGTGTGAGCCGGTCTTTCTGCAGGGTTTGGAGTACTTGAGGGATCGTTTGACTTCGCAACTAGCGTGTAAGAAAAGTAGTTCTGCAGTAAGGCAATAAGTGTATATAGCTACTGTGACCCCAGCCCTATGGTCAAACAAACTTCATAATTAACTACTAATATAAGCCCAACAAAGGCATCTAGCGTCCCCTGGTCCTCCCAGCATGGCCCAGGATTCTCCAGGTCAACCATACCTGCTCGGAAAGCCAAAAATCGCAGAAAATGCCAGGCACAGAATGTGGACCACACGCCCCCAAAAGATTGGAGATCCCTGATAAAGCTCTATACTTAAAGGATCATGGGACTTAGTAACTAGGTTATAATTAGGGTTATAAGTCCCCTAAGTGGGGTTATCCTAATTATAACCTACTTATAACCTTACTTACTAAGTCCCATGAGCCTTCAAGTAGGAATTGAATCCGAATGAAACCTTAACAGAACTCTAGGCAACCCTGACACAAATCTCTGGGAACTGCATCGCAGTCGCGGTCGCATCTCTAATGTACCCCGGGTCTCGATCCCGAAGATGAGATTCCTGATTTGCGGGTTGCGAGCTTAGGGTGTAGCAGTGTGCGGTTTAGGGTTTAAGCTTTGGGAAATTACGCAGTGTAGAGTTTAGGATTTTACAGCTTTGGGTTGAAGCTGTAGGAAATTACGGGATTTAGGGTTTTTTGCTTGTAGCAGAAGGGGTCTTGGCTGTGAAGGCTCTTTTGGTCTTACCGTCTTGAGGTTTCGGTTTCAAGTTTATGACTTAGGGTTTGAGAGTTTTGGGGTCAGAGGCTTTGCCGTTCTTACAGGTTTAGGAAGTCTAGGAGGTTCTGATTTAGATTTGAGTGCGCAAACCGGATAATGTAGGAACCTGGAAAAATAATACATCTGGTCTTACAACTCCTTCTTGATAACCAGGTTCTTACACTACGACATTCATCTGGCGAAAGCTCTCGGAAGAAAGGACAAGTACTGCTGCTGATTTCACCATCACAGGCAGGCATGGACCCTTCAATCCTGAAGTGCCGTCTCCCTCGGTTGGCCAAAGCTGCAGAGGCATATCGATCAACCAGAAGCCAAGAGAGACGTTGGAAATAACCTCGCGTTCACAGAGTTCGGAATCACTGTGGATGACATAAGGGCCTGGATAACTGCCAAGTATTCGTGTGAGTTCCTTACTCGCAACATTAATCATATAGTACATGTATGATATAATGCTTCACATTCGGGTTTCGATTTAGGGTGAGACCCCATTAGAGCGAGAGGTTGGGAGTGAAAGAGAAAGAGAGAACGAACGATAAAGACGGAGAAAGAGAGAGAGAGAGAGAGACAGACAGCACACACGCGCAGTCTACCCAAATGGAAACACTAAGTTTTCGCGCTGAAGCAACAGGTGTGGTCCTACAGATTGAGAAAGCTGGCGAAGTAGGAACAGCGCAGACTTCGACTCTCGGCAAAACTCTAAACCCCGAGACTCTAAACCCCTAAACCCTAAACCCCTAAACCCTAATTAAACCCCTAAACCCCAAACCCTAAGGGGATAGTCCTCCCGAGAGAGTCTTGAGACATGATCCGCCTATGTTATGTGTTGATACCACGTCCACTGAGCAAAGCCCGACGTCCACTGAGCCCTAAACCCTAAACCCCTGTAAGAGCCCAACAAAGCATCTAAACAAAAACCACAAGAGTGGGATATCCCATACTCCCCTCTTCATAGTTGGGTGCTTTTGGGGGTTCCTGAGTCTGATGCTGGCACAGGACCAACAAGTGGACCAAAGAGGAGTCTGCAGTGCATTTTCGAACATTTCTTTTTGAATGCCGGTGTTCATAAGAAGAAATTGGGGGCTAGGGACGAGTGTTGTAGGGGGCCTTAATACCTATAATAAGGGCTGAATAAGGTCCCCTGCCCCCTTCTGGCTCCCTATGAGGTGTTGTAGGTGGACTGTACAGTCTTGAATCTTTTGGCAACCCTAAATCCTAAACCTAAACCCTAATAACCTCTAAATCCTAAACCCTAAACCCTGAACTCTCAACCCTAAACCCTAACATGTAAAGGGTGTCAGCTTTGAGATCGAACGTCGCGGCACAGCACCCCTAGATCCAATAACACGTCTGAGAAGGAAGCGATTATTGCTACCTCTCGAACATACATTCACCGATATTCTTAAGGTGTAGACATAGCGGAACCCAAGGCAAGTCATACCCATGTCTGTCTATCTACGTACTTTCCTACCAAACTTTCTAAAACACACACCAAAATGAACGGCCACAACAGTTTCAAGTTCTCCCATTGGCTATCTAAGTCACAAAGATAAGAAAGCTCTTGACAGATAGGCCAGGCACTCCCATCACTTCGATGAAGTCGGGCAGGTTGAAGAGACCGAGGGGAATGGTAATCAAGTCCCAGAGGATGAGACTGGGCAGGAAAGATCCTTAAAGGGATCTATACGGTTCCTTAAAGGGATCTATAGGGTTCCTTAAAGGGATCTATAGGGCTCCTTAAAGAGAGCTATAGGGTTTAGGGTTTAGGGTCTACTTGGAGGGGCAGGGGACTTAGTAGGTAGGGTTATAAGTACGGTTATCATTGGGGTAACTACATTTAGGATACTTATAACTCTACTTATAACCCTACTTACTAAGTCCCCTGCCCCTCCAAGCAGTACAGATGCTGTTGTTGCTTGGAAACCCCTAGACCCTAAATGTCACTAAATCCTAAATTCTTATCGCTTGAAGCAATTGAGCGACGACTTCTCAGCAAAAGCCCTAAGTCCATAAAGCCACTCCTAAAGGCGAAGCTACTTCAAAAGCAAGCTATTTCAAAGGCCTGTTCTAATTGTTAAGTCCCCTATATATATATATATATACATATGGGAGTTTCCGAAAATAGGGTACCCAAATATAGCTCCCTAAATAGCAGGATCCTTATTATGAGGGCCCCAAAAGAAGGTACCCCTAATTTTCGGAAACCCCATATATATATATATATATATATATATGTAGGATGAGGCCGGATTTCGAATTGAATCTGAAATTCGGCCATATTCTATATATATATATATATATATGAACCACAAAACCCTGAACCCCTGCTCGACTCTCGACCCGAAGTCCTGAACCCGAAACCCCAAACAAGAAGCCCCAGTAATCCCTGAATCTCCAGGCCCACTTCAGTTTTTCCTTAAGGGGTCCCTTTCAGGGATCTATAGGGGTACGAAAAGGGTTTAGGGTTTAGGGTCTACTTAAAGGATCATGGGACTTAGTAATGGGGGTTATAAGTAAGGTAACTATAGTTTTTCAATACTCACAACCCCAATTAAGGTACTTATAACCCTACTTACTAAGTCCCATGATCCTCCAAGTAGGGTTCAATCTTCAAGCCCACTTCGGTTTAGAGTCCCGGGTTGAGGGTTGACGAAAAAGGGTTGTGTAGTAAGATACGGTTGATGATATACATCCTGCATTACCTTAAGGACCCTAAACTATGGGAATTATGGTATATTCCTTATTATGGGTAATGCAGGATTTATGTAATTCCCTAAACCCTAAAACCCTATAGATCCCTTAAAGGTAGCCCCATAGATCCCTTTAAAGGTACCCTAAGATTTATATCATCAACCATGGAGGGGAAGCTCTAGGCTCGATTCCCAGATGGCAAAAGCGGTGGGCCAGGGCTTGGGGGGTTTGGGGTTTAGGGTTTAAGGCTAGGGCTTTGGGAGGTTTGGGATTTTAGGGGTTTAGGGGTTTAGGGCTGAGGCATAGGGGGGTTTGGGGTGTAAGGTTTAGGGGTTTAGGGCTAGGGCTTAATTAGGGGGTTTGGGGTTTAGGGTTTTAGGGGTTTAGGGCTAGGATTTAAGCGAAAACCCAGATCCCAAAACAGCTTTGAGCCCTTGCAAACGAATCTCACAGACTCCGATGCCAGACCGCGAATTAGGACATGTACCGGCGACGCCCAACATGTACTGGTGCCATGTTGCTTCAACACTTGACACAAATCAACTGGCCGCACTGGATATGGGATTGCCGGACAAATCCCGGTGCAACGCTTTCCTGCAAGAGCAAACACGCCCTCAACTTCTAATATAGTAGTCGGAACTTATAGTTGTGTTTTGTGATAATTTCCGTATGTGCTGAGCATCGCTGTCAACATAAACCTATCGAACGAAGCCGGCCCCGAGAATTTGAAACCCCACCTCACTGCAAGCCCGACATCCACAACTCCCAGAACCCGAAAGCCCTAACCCCAACCAAACCCCAAGCCATGAAACACAAGACTCGATACTCCCAAGCCACGTCAGTAACCCCGAAATTAATCCGTTATGGAGCCCCAAACCCCGAAACCCTTGCTCCCTCCAGCCCTCAACAGCCCGCACTTCTTCCCTAAACCCTAAACCCTACACCCAAAAAACCCTAACCCTAAACCCCAAACCCTACACCCAAAAAACTAAAACCCTAACCCTAAATGATCTTGGTCGTGGCGCAAAGCCCCCATGGATGACCAGAACATCTGAACCTTGCTCCGCGGGCTGACGACGAATCCTCGGCTCTTTCTTTTATGTACCTTAACCCCGAAGAACCTACATTTTTTAAGGACTTATATAAAGAAATCATAGTAAGGAACCCGAGAAATGTATGTTATTCAGGGTTAAGGTACGGTGAGGGACTTTTCGCCAAGCCTGCCAACCCAGTTCTTTAGGGTTCAGGGTTTGGGTGAAGGGTTTAGGGTTTAGGGTTTAGGATTTAGGGCCCAGAGGGTCCAAGTACCCACATAGCAGGGTTTTAAGTCCCCAAAAACCATACTCTGAATGGCTTTTTGACCTTGAGAGTGTACTATTTGGGAACTTGGACCCTTAGGGGGGGCTTAACGGCTGGCGAATCCCAGGTTCTTTGGGATTTTGTGTGTTAAGGGCCCGAGGTGCTCTGATAAAGGGGGTGCTCTTGGGTTTTCCTTTGAGGAGTGCACGACCAACGGTGTAGGGTTTCGGGGATTTAGGGAGTTCTTGCGTTGTGCTTTGACGGGTTTGGGGCTCTCCGGCTTTTCATAAGGACGGTTTCCGGGCTTAGGGGTGTTCGGCGCCTAGGCGTCAGCCGTCAGGACCGAAACCTAGGAAGATTGCTAACCTCCCCAAAAACAATTCGAAGGTTGGGTCTTGGAGAAAGATGAATCTTGGACCCAAATGCCAAAACCTGAACCCTAACCCCTAAAACCCTAAACCCCGAAGACCCTAAACCCCTAAACCCTCAACCCCTGAAAACCCTAAAACCCTGAAACCTGAAACCCTAAACCCCTAAGACCCCAAACCCTCCGAGCCGAAACCTTCAAATCCAGCCGAAGGTGCTCTGCAAACAGGAATTCTCGTGGAGTGCGTCACTCATCTTAAGAGTCGACCTCCAGTTTGGGGCTTTAGGGTTCAATTTTTAGGGTTAAACCATGGGGTGTTTAGGGTTCAGGGTTAAAGTTTAGGGTTTAGGGTTCAGGGTTAGGGTTTAGGGTTCAGGGCTTCGGGTGTAGCTGAGGGTGTAACGACCCGAAGGATCCTAAGTACCTACACAGTAAAGTGTAGGCTTCCTATACTCTTTAAAGGGATCTATAGGGTTCCATAGGGTTCCTTAAAGGGATCTATGGGGTTTAGGGTTTAGGGTCTATAGGCTTCCTATACTCGGAACTTCGATTTGTGAGGTATTGGTGCTGCTCTGAGCCTTACAACCCTATACCCTCCCCAGAGAACCCAATACCCCTTAATTAAGGAATATACCTTAAATCATAATATTAAGGCCCCTATAATTTAAGGTATATTCCTTAATTAAGGGGTATTGGGTTCCATGAGTCAACTCTGAACACTTAGACACTAAACCCTGAGCGCATCGAGGGGCGGATACCTGGGCTGTGGGGTCTACAAAACCGAATGGAGCCCTTTATTCCTGTAAGGTGAAGCGGTTTAGGGGTTTAGGGTTTTGGGTTTAGGGGTGAAGGGCTTTTAGAGTGCCAGGGTTAAGGATATAAGGTTTAGGATGTTTCAATGTTGGGGCTTGGAAATTTAGGGCTTCAGAGTCCTAGGGTTGGGAAAACCTCCACAGCAGCATCCTTACTCTAAGGACTCCGACACAACCTAGCCCCTCCTCTAGTTTAGGAACTCCGAATGCTCCTTGCTTCACTGGTACATTATGGCACGAGACTGCTTGTCGGGTGCTCTTGTTGCTGCAATGCTTTTGAAGCCTTGTAGAACCCGTATGAAGGGATCTTAAGCCCCGAAACACGCTCTTCCTGCTGCAACGCTTTTGAAGCATAGGATCCCGTGCGTTACCCAGACCTTCCGAAATCCCTGAACATACCTTGAGCTATAGTACGTGCAGGCATGTGGCAGCGAGCAACCCGGGCAAGGATTTGACAGACAAAAAACCTTCAATCAACATGGGTGAGTTCTTAGAGCCTGATAGTGCTGTCCCTAACCTTCAAACCAATCCCTGAACCCTTTAGAACCCGTAAGGGAACCCTTTACAGAGTGTTCTGAATACGAGGCGCTGGTTAGCGGAGTTCGCAGCCGCCACTCTCCGCAGGCCACGTCTCTTTAGCGACTCCTGCAGCTCACTACAGTACCCAGGGGGTCCATAGACACTACGATTATGGAATTAGGTAACAAAAGACCAGCCCCATTATGGTTTTTGGGACCTAATTCCACAATGGTAGTGTATATGGACCCTCTGGGGTAGTTACATGTTCAAGACGTGCTATGAGCTCTATATGGGTTTACAGTTTATCTGGGTTCGTGTGGGTTTACATGGGTTGGCATGGGTTCACAGTGTCTATTAAGGATTTTGATAAGGTTTTGCAGTTTAAGATTTGATAATTACTGCATTTCGATGTTCTATCAGCTAAGGGCCTGCGGTGGCTTGAAAAGCTTGTTTGGCCTTTTTATGGGCTTTGTGTAGGGTCGTAGTGAGTTTCACGGGCTTTCTTACGCGCCTTCTAAATTTCAAGTTGGTGAAATGTGCCTTCTCATTTGGTGCATGTTTTTTCGGGGAGTGGGTTTCCTTAGGGGAGAAACGGTTCACACTTGGTTCAACTTACCTGGTTATGAAGGCATTTGGTCATGAGGACAGCACACCAAACAAAACAAGTCATGCTTTGGGTTTAGAGGGCTTGTGGCTTCAGCGTTCAGCGGTTCCGCCTCAGGCGGTTGTGCCTCCACCAGCATTCTTCCAACGATCCGGATGCCTAAAAGCCTTGTACTCTCCTGAGGCTAGCCTACGGCTACTTGAAGGCTCATGGGACTTAGTAAGTAAGGTTATAAGTAGGTTATAATATTAGGATAACCCCACTTAGTGGACTTATTACCACAATTATAACCTATTTACTAAGTCTCATGATCCTTTAAGTACTACTGTCCTATGCCAAAAATGCCCAATTACTGTATACTGCGAACATTCGGGTAAAGAAAGCCTGAACCGGAAACCCGACTGAACACCGTAATCAACCAGACCTACGAGTAACCTAGGAATGAAAAGCCTGCCCTTTTTGGTTTAAAGGGGCTTATAACCTAAACCCTCAAAAGGGAATAAGGGCCGTTTACAGGGACTTATAAGGGAACCTAAACCCTGAAAAAGGAAATAAGGGCCTACTCTAGGTCCCGGCCCTGAGCTCCAAAACCCTGGCCCCCATCTCCCATAGCCTAAGCCAGAGCCTCTTTAAATTCCTTTCTCGAGCTCTTCGGGTTTAGGCTTTGTATCCATATATGCTACTATTATGGAATTCAGATCCCAACACCATTATTATATGGTCTTTTGTGACCTAATTCCCGATATGGTAGTGTATGTGGACCCTCTGGAGAAGCCATTATAAGCCTATCCGGTGCCTCATGCCCAGAGGGTCCATACACACTGCCATTTTGGAACTCGGCATCGGAAGACTGTGGCTTTGGGGACCTAATTCCATAATGGTAGTGTAACAAAACCCTAAAACACTAAACCCTAAACCCTGAACCCTAAAGCCTAAACCCTAAAGGCCCTAAACCCTAAACCCTAAGCCCTGAACCCTACACCCTAAACTCCAAACCCTAAACCCTACCTGTGTAAGTGGACCCTCTGGGATAAGACGAGAGAGCCGGCCTGAAAGGACAACGTCCAGACTGGCCGCATGTGGAGGTCCAGCTTCTCCATGGGCTCAATCCTCGAACGGTTTAGGGTTTATCTATAGGGTTTATTGTTGATGGCTCAGGGTTTAGGTTTAAGGGTTTCGGGTTTAGGGTTTATTATTTATGGTTCAGGGTTTAGGGTGGTTTAGGGTTTTAGGGTTTAGGGTTCAGGGAATGCTGTACTTAAAGGATCATGGGACTTAATATCCTTGAAAGGGCTCCTTAAAAGGTTCCTTCAAGGGTTCTGTAAGGATCTACAGTTATAGCTAATTTATAACCCCAATTTAGGTACTCTATGGCACTCAATAGTGGATATTTGGGGTATACTAGAGGGTAGTTGTAGCTTTAAGGTGTAGGGTTTGGGCCCTTAAATGAGCCCGTAAGGTATCTATCAGCGCTGCTATCAACGACTATTGGGGATCAGGGTTTGGCTTTTGTGGTTTGGGGTCCCAGGGTTCGGGGTTAAGGGTCTACAGTAGAAGCTTAAAGCTGGAAACCCAGTAGCCTCAATCCTTAAGAGTAATTCAAAGGGAATCCCAGCACTATTTGGCCTTAATCCGGTTTCCAACTCTATGGGATTTACTGTAAACCCCTCAACCCTATAGATACCTTATGGATCCCTTTAAAGGAACCCCCATCGATGCCCTTAAGGAGCCTTAAGAAACCTACTGTAGGCTTTAAGGATGGCTTTAGGGATGTAGGCCTTTAGGGCCGTAGGGTCCCAGGGTTTAAAGTCTATACTTGAAGGATTAGGGTTTAGGGTTTAGGGTTTGGGGTTTAGGGTTTAGGGTTTAGGGTTTAGGGTTTAGGGTTACTTAGTAACTTAAAGGGCTCCTTAAAAGGTTCCTTCAAGGGTTCTAGTCTATGAGGGTTTAGGGTTGAAGGATCATGGGACTTAGTACTTGGGGTTATATGTACGGTAACCACCGCTGTAATTACTTCGAACCCCAACTAAGGTACTTATAACCCTATACTTGCTAAGTCCCTTGATCCTCCAAGTAGGGTTTAGGGCTCCAGGTACCCGGATCGTCGATATGGCGCCTTAAGTGGGTTTCTGCACAAGGGCCTCCTTCGGCTAGAGGCTACTTGAAGGCTCATGGGACTTAGTAAGTAAGGTTATAAGTAGGTTATAATTAGGCTAACCCCACTTAGTGGACTTATAACCCCAATTATAACCTATTTACTAAGTCCCATGATCCTTTAAGTAGAGCCTGGAGGAGTCAGGGCTTGAGCCGAGGGAGCGGCAGGGGATAACATAAATTTCAAAACTTCAGAAAGTTCTAGCAAGAAAGACCTCTTGAGCCTGAAACCCTCAGGACCCAAACCGTCAAAATCCGACATAAATCTTGAACAAGGACATTCGAAAGATTTCTAGCCTTTCCCGGCACGGACCAAACAAGCCAAAAGAACACACGTTGTTGCCAAAACAAGGTGGAACCCCTAAATCCCACACCTAAACCACTTCCTAAACCCTAAACCGAAACCCAAACTGCCTCCCCCTACGGAACAACAAAAAAAGGCTCCCAGAGACTCCAATATCCCTTGATTAAGGAAGGTCCCTTATATATATATATATATATATATATATGCTACCCCCCCCCTCCAGGACCTACCTCGAAGCCTCTTCTTGTACTGTCTAGACGACGTCACGACTCCACTCCGAACAAAACTGTTATATACTGCGTAGTCTTCCCTGTCTACGACGACATTACACCGTTCGAACTAAAACAATACCATGAAGTATTGTCTACTGTCCTCTGTATGCTACGCTATTTCTGATGTTCTTTTTTTGAACCGTGATCTAGAGGGCATACTAAAAGTTATTCTAAATAGTATCTTAAAAGGTATTCTAGAGGATATTCTACGAGGTATATTTGAGGATATTTGAGGTATTCTGAGGATATACTCCATAGGCGGTCTTCCGTAAGGATGTTATTCTATAGGTCATTCTATACGGTGTTCTAGAGGGTGCACCATAAGGTATTGTACAAAAAGGCATTCTGCGGCCTATACGTAGGAAGGTATTCTATAGTGTATTTTATTTGAAATTCATTCAGGTGCATAGAGAGGGTATTTTATAAGGTAGTTGGGGTGGTCTTCTTGGTTCCTGATTTCTTCATAGGAATCCATTGCCCAAAAGCTGCAATTCAACTGGAAATTCTCAGATCTTGGGCTCCGCCTGGCTTTCCATATTTAAAGTCCGTACCTATAAGGTACCTTTTAATGTTTTCTATAAAGGATTCTAAAGGGTATCCTAAATGGTACCGTATATGTATTCTATATGGCATACATAAGGTACACAGGATGTAGCAAATAAAGGTGTTCTTCTTCAAAGTATCCTACAGTGTATTACACATGGTATTCTATAATGTGTATGTAGGGCAAATCGGTGGAATTGTATAAAACATGCTATAAGGTAGTTTAGAAGTTGCATTCTATAGGATATGTGCAGCATGTGCTTCAGAAGAGTTTTGTTCTCTGTATGTATCCTTTGCCAAATAAGCATCGATTTTTCCAGGAATTTCTAGATCCTCTATTCCGGAATTCCTTGATATGAATCCGTTGCCAAATAAACCACATTCAACTGGGGAACTCTCAGATCTTGGGTGTACAAGGTGTATAGGGAATGTAGAATATTTTATGAGGTACTATCGTATTCTACATGAGTTTATTTACCTTTTTGTAGAAAAGGTATTCTGTAAGGGATTATGCAGGCTGTTCTCCTTTATTCCTCATTTCTTTCATAAATGTCCCTTGCTCAATAAGCTGCATAAAGCTTGGGTTCCTTCTGATTTACCCTAAGTAAATCCTGATCTATACGGTTTCTGTCGGATATCCCAAAGGGGATTCTCAAGAGCATATACAAGGTATAAGGGGAGTATCATTCATAGGGTTCTTATAAGACATTCTGTAAAATTTTCCAGATGGTGTTCTAAAAGGCTTGTGTAGGGTTTTGTGGTATCCCAAGCTGTAACGTATAGAAGGTATTCTATATAGGGTGTATATATAGGACAGATTTCTATGCGGTGTTTTATGAGTTACAGGGTAGTCCATAAGGTATATACAAAGCATATACTGCATAAACTGTATATGGTACGACCTGAGTATTTTCTATGAAACTCTGGACGGGATAAGACACTAATCCATACTGAACTTAAAAAAATCTTCTTTTACAAGTAGGTTCCTGGTTTCCATCATGGGAACCGGTTACTCAATAAGCTACAACTCAGCTGAACATTCGCAAATCTTCGGCTCCGACTGATGTTCCATATTTGACATCTATCTGTAAAGTATTCTATAGGGTATTCTATTACGGGAGTCTACGAAGTATCCTATAAGATATTCTATGAGGTGCATATTGACAGGCTGTATAATACCTGGTGCCCTAAATTTGCGCCGACATGATCACAAGCATAGGGGGGAGTTAGGAGTACAGATGCGATCAAACTGTCAAGCACAGCAATCCGTTCGCCAATCTCCACTGCAGGTTTAGGGCCCTACGGTTTAGGGCGCCTGGGGTTTAGGGCTCTACGGTTTAGGACCCCTTGGGTTTAGGGCCCTACGGTTTAGGGCGCCTCGGGGTTTAGGGCTCTGCGGTTTGAGGCCCCTGGGGTTTAGGGGCTTACGGTTTAGGGAGTTGATCCGCCCCGGACTTAAAGCCCTACGTTTAAGTTTTGCCAACAGATGTGTGAATTCCCTGTCCCTTTGTTTAACGCGGTATTTACAGGCTTTTTGCTCGGTGGCGGATCACTTCCGCCAGATTTTGCCCGGATCCCTGGCCGTTGTTTTGAAGCGGTATTTACTCAAAACATCTGTCTTGTACAGCTGGGCCCCTCAAGGGGTCAAAACATCTAGCTTGCACGGCTAGCCTTTTCTAAGCTCAAAACATCTGTCTTCTACAGTTGGGCCCCTTGAAGGGTCAAAACATCCAGCTTGCAGGCCATGTGGCACATAAAATGGCAAACCGATATGTTTCGTGAATATTTACATGGTTTCCAGCCACCTGGCTGCATTAAAACCAACATTTAAAAATTAATGCAGCCCGGCCCGTGGAACCAAGAACCAAGAACCAAGTTTCCCAGGAGTCTTGAATCCTGAATCTTGGTTCGACGGGCACCGGCCGGGTTGCATTAAAATCTGCATTAAAAAATTAAATTTTAATGCAGCCCGGCCCGTGGAACCAAGAACCAAGATGCCCAGGAGTCTTGAATCTTGGATCTTGGTTCCGCGGGCACCGGCCGGGTTGCATTAAAATTTGCATTAAAAAAATTAAATTTTAATGCAGCCAGGCCCGTGGAACCAAGATTCAGGATTCAAGACGGTGCATCAAAATTTTAATTTTTTTTATGCAGATTTAATGCAGCCCGGCCGGTGCCCGCGGAACCAAGATCCAAGATTCAAGACTCCTGGGCATCTTGGTTCTTGGTTCTTGGTTCCACGGGCCTGGCTGCATTAAAATTTAATTTTTTAATGCGGGTTTTAATGCAGCCCGGCCGGTGCCCACGGAACCAAGATCCAAGATTCAAGACTCCTGGGAATCTTGGTTCTTGGTTCTTGGTTCCACGGGCCTGGCTGCATTAAAATTTATTTTTTTAATGCGGGTTTTAATGCAGCCCGGCCGGTGCCCGCGGAACCAAGATCCAAGATTCAAGACTCCTGGGCATCTTGGTTCTTGGTTCTTGGTTCCACGGGCCTGGCTGCGTTAAAATTTATTTTTTTAATGCGGGTTTTAATGCAGCCGGGCCTCTGGTATAGTCATGTTCGCATACACTAATCTTCGTATACCCAGGTCCATGTTGCGTGTGTGTGCGTGTGTGTGTGTGTGCGTAGGTGATGGGGTATGGTATCCTGTGTGTAGGCCGACGGGTTTGGAGGTAGGTCCTGGGGGGGGGGGGTACCATATATATATATATATATATATATATATGTATCATATCAGGGATCCTTTTGGAAGTTAAGGTTGTATTCCTTGATTAAGGGATATTGGAGTCTCCTAAACCCTGAACCCTCTAGATCCCTTATCTTCTAGACCTCTTTAAGGAACCCTCCTCAACTAAGGGATATCGGAGTCTCTGGGCTTTCGATGGGACAAGGCACTCCCTGCTTCGGATCGGTTCACTGCCGGAAGCTTCCAGTAGCTTGGCCGTCAGCTCCACCCACTTGTACCTTGATTTAGCTAGTTCATGGTTGGGATAGGATTTAAAATGTAAGTTTTTGTCTTATTGGGTTGAAGTACTCATAAAATTTTTATAAAATGTTACCCAACTATAACACATGTACCTTGATTTAAGGTTTAGAGTTTGGGGTTCAGAGATTTGGGTGCTAGTAATTGCGTTTTGGGTTCGGGGCTTAGGATGGCTTGAAGTTTGGGGGGTTTTAGGGATTTCGAGCTCAAACTCGTTGAGATGTGAAGCTGCTCCATATACGGATCATCGTGCTGATGCTATTAATCTCGTGGAGGAAAGGTTGCTTTGGCACGGTGTTTACCTGGGCTTTCTCATCCTCTAGGCGCGCAGCAGTATTCCAGGGCGTGCGTGCCGCAAGTCTCTCGGCATCGTGCTTGAGAACTTTGTCCGCAGCATCGTGGCCCAAGCCTGCACCACTGTAGATCGCGGGGAAGTCCCCTCGCAATCGCGAGCTTGCGGTGCAAGGAAATTGAATCATGATGATGAAGCCTCTGACTCTAATAATACACAGCCAGGCAGCAGTCAAGTGCCACTGACCAGAAGAATCTCAAGTCTCTGAATCTGGCCCCTTCGGTGCATCGGAAACCCAGGCGAAATTCAGACTGATTTTGGATTGACCAAAAGCCGTCATGTCGAACTGTAGGCCTCATTAAGTGAGGGAGGTTTCCTAACCAGGGCTCAAGATTGGTCTAAGCCTTCAAGTACCTGTCAATTAAGTCTTTTGAAGCGGTTCTACAAGAGTTATGTGAGGGTATGTGCCTCGGGTGTGGGTTTAGGGTTCAGGCACCAGGTACATACATAGCAGATACCTTGGATGCACACGGGTTTTACCTTCAACCTTTAGGGCAAAACTATAATAGAAGACACACGAACATGAAGCCCGAAACCATCATGCTTATCAATGTTAGTGGCCAGTCTTCCTCAGTTGCTACGGGTGTCCGTCTTTCGCTTTTGCTTGGCAACAGGTCGGCTTTTAGGGTGCAGGGCCTACTTGGAGGGGCAGGGGACTTAGTAAGTAAGTCGTTTATAAGTAGGGCTATAATTGGGGTAACTCCATTTAAGGTACTTATAACTCTACTTATAACCTACTTACTAAGTCCCCTGCCCCTCCAAGTAGGGTTTCGATTTCGGCGTTGAAGCTAGCTGCTCCAAACTCGACCCATTTTCAGGACACCCACAAAACCACGCCACTCTCATAGCCAACCCTGAGCCCTGAATCCAGCACAAGCCTTGTTCATGGTTGGGATAGGATTAAAACCTACACATTTTTGTTCCTTATTGGGTTTAAGTTCCCATAAAAGTGAATAAACCCTGAACCCCTAAACCCAAACCCTAAACCCTAAACCCTAAACCCTTTCGGAACCTTTCGGATAGCGGTAATGCCTCGGCTGATTGCGGAAGCACTCCTGGTCCGTGGGTAAGACTAACAAGGAAACTGGCAGGAATGGCCAGAAGCCAGCCTGGCAGTAAACCACGCTTCCACACGGAAGGGGAACTCCGGAAGCTTAAACGCAGTGTGGGAAAAGCAGCCGGAGGGCGCTGTCCAAGCAGCACGACTACAGTAGATCGCCGCATCGCGCAGCTCACTTCATTGGTGGTGCCTGGACAGCGGAAAGGCAAGCACAAAGCGCTTGCGCAGGAAGGGTACTACAGGGGTAGACCGCATCGCGCAATATACCTCATTGACACAACCTGTGCAGCAGAAGAAACGAACCCCTTGAAGTTCGAAAAGTTCATGGTGGCATCAAAAGCAGTACTGGCCACCGAGAAGTGCGCACTGCAACGCCGAGTTTGTAGCCTGGACAAGCACACGATAACGAAGAACTCCCCGTCTTCCTGTCGTAAAAGGATGCCATCTTGGGAAGCGAGGACAACGAAGTTGAGCCGGACAGTGTCCACGAAGAGAGAGACGACCAACCACTGAGCAACCAACAAAAACCAGCCACATGTGCCGTATGGGCCGACCAGCCGTCCCCATGGGCCATGCCCCAGATGGAATTGAAACAGAAAGGGCAGCAATGGGACCTCCAGTAAGCTGCAGGTTGCAGGCCTTCTCCCGACAAATGTTGACCCTGATATAGCACAGCAAGATGGGATGCAAGTCATCCCAAAAGGCAAGAAGATCCACGTAGCAAGAACCGAAAACCGCCATGCTGAATGACCACATGTCCTCTCCCTCTGTGCTTCAACCACGAAAGCCTTAGTGCCACCGCAGCTCGTCAAGCAAATGACCTGCGTCGACAATAAACGGTGCAAGATGCCCATGGCGAAAGAAACTAGAAGGAAACCTAACACCCGAGCGATCTGCCTGCTCCGCCACACCACTGGAAGGAGCTCGGGCCACCGTGGCTAAACCCTAAACCCTAAACCCTAAACCTTAACCGGTTGACAGGAACCCTGAACTTGGGGACATACTCTGCGGTTGGGACCTGCTTGGCGGGGCAGGGGACTTAGTAAGTAGGGTTTATAGGGTTTAGGGACTTAGTAAGTAGGTTAGAAGTAGAGTCATAAGTACCCTAAATGGAGTTACCCCAATTATAACCCCTACTTATAACGTACTTACTAAGTCCCCTGAGCCCCTCCAAGTGGTGTTTTGAGTCAATGTTGAAATTATTGGGTTCATTGTTCGGGCTCCGGGCCCCAAAGCCCATGCAACCGCTGAATTTACGGAATATAACAGACTTGTTTGTGGGACAGTCGTATGAGTTAGGGTACATTTCCCCCTAAAACCTGAACGGCGCCCTTAACTCGTCCCGAAACCCCAAACCAGCTGAACCTTAAGACCCTAAGCCCTTGCCTTAGTTGCTGAGTTCATAAGCCCCCAAAACTCTACACTTTCATTAATATTACACAAAAAAATCTAAAGTGTATCCACTCAGTAAAGCAACATCTTGATCAAACCCCTTGGGCGCATAGTGTAACAAAAAACATGATTCCTAAGCAACCCCCCGAAATCCAAGCCCCCAAGCCCCCAAGCCAAACTGAAGGCCACATCGCAGGCAAAGGGCTCGGCGCCCCACTCCGGTCCACCTCTGCAGCTCGTTGCCAAGGCCGGCTTTAAGCGTTTCGGCGCTTAGGGTTTAGGTGGGTTCTGGGTCAGGGTGTGGGGTTTAGGGTTTCGGGTTTAGGGATTAGCGTTCAGGGAGGTTTGGGTGTTGAGCTTAGGGAGCTCCAGAAACTTCACACACCACTGGCCCATGAAGCCCTAAACCCTAGCTGTCCCGACACCCCGGAATCCTAGAGGAGTCGTAGAAGCTTTCCGAACCCCGAAAATCCCTCATATACGGGCCTTCATCGATTTAGGGTTTAAGTTTAGGGCCAGGGTTTCAGGCCATAATCATGAGAATAGAGCTTTGGGAGTATAGTGTACTCTCATTGTACCAGGAACCCTCGCGAATAGCACTGGCCATCGTTTCGGCTTCTACATTGAAACTGCATTAAACCACCGGCAGCTATGTGTCCACAAGACCAAAGAAAAGAGATTCTTGGGTTCGGCGTAAGACCTGTAGAACTCTTAAACGGGTACCCGAAACCCCAAACCACAGGTATTCAGAACAATTAGGGTGAGGGATTCGTGGTTTGCCTAAGGCTCCCCAAGCCCTGAACCGTTTTAATAGTCTAAATCCTACACTCAGGCCGCCTCAGGCCTGAGGGTATAGAATAGAATCTCGAACCTGCTTCGGGGCAGTTGTGATGGCAAGGTTTACGTTGTTTCAGGGCACCCAGGTCGGCCTTCAGCCCTCAACCGCCTAATCCAAAACCCCCAAGCCATAGAAGATCCTATACAACCCTCAAGAGAATCCGGAAAAGAACCCTTGAAAAATACCCTGACAGGACCCCTTGAAGATACTTGCAGGAACCCTCATCAACGAGACTAACTATTTAAGGATCCTAAAAGAACCCAGACCCTAAACCCCGAACCAGTGCCCCTGAACCCTAAACCCTTTTCTCCAGCCTGCAGCTGGATTGCCGCCTTGATGACTCGTGCTCATGTTGGACTTCGACTTACCCACCTGGGCGGGTGGCGGTTGATTTTATGGGTTAGGTTTAGTGCTGTAGGGTTACGGGTGAGGATGTTGCAAATGACGACGATGCCCGCGACGACTATTGCCACAGCCATGACACCACTATACGGAACTTAGAACCCTAGCAAAAAATATAATTTCAGCTGTTTCTTAGGGATTACAATAACCAAAAATTAGAAATTACTTCTTAAGTACCCCTAAGACCTACTATTTTTGTGGTCCTGTTGGAGTCCGAGCACTTGGTGCGTGCGGGGCGCGGGCGGTGTTGGTTCCGGTGCATCCCATGGCCTACTTAAAAGATCATGGGACTTAGTAAATAGGTTATAATTGGGGTTATCAGTCCCCTATGTGGGGTTATCCTAATTATAACCTACTTATAACCTTACTTACTAAGTCCTATGAGCATTTACGAAAAGAGCATCGAAGACCCTATCATGATCACAATGTCCAACCGTGCAGAGTAAAAGCCAGGTAATCAACTTGTAGACAGGATATGGATGCACTTAAAGGCATCCGTCTGTTGCTGTCGATACAGTAGTGTTGCTGCTGTTGCTCTTCCTGTTGCTACAAAGTATTGCTGTCGCAGTTGATTTTGCTGATGCTGCTGTTGTTGCGGTGGTCGTCGACATGGCATTTGTCGCTTGTCTTGCTGCTGTGGTTGTGGTGGTGCTGATGGTGCCCATGGTGGTGGTGTTCGTGGTGGTGGTGGTGGTGGTGGTGGTGGTGGTGGTGGTGGTGGTGGTGGTGGTGGTGGTAATGGTGGTCAAGGTCGTAGTCGTGAGTCGTGGTCGTCGTCGTCGTTGCTGTGGTTGTTGGTCTGTTGTAATTGCGAAAACAGTTGCAACAGGAGCAAGAGTAGATAACAGCTACAAGCAGTCGTAGAAGCAGCAGTCACTTGTACTTGGTAACTAGTGCTACCGATCCGTGTCGCAATGATTGTCGCCGCCCTGCCTTGCAATAGTAGTGGTGATAAGCTGTCTATTGCTGCTCTCCCTGCTGTTGTTGCTACTTCCTATGTTTCAGGTCTTCAGCTTCGTACATGAAGGGCAATGAGGAGTGGTCTTAGGTTTAGGTTTGTGTAGGTTGCTCAATGGCAAGGGCCATGCATGCGCTTCACCCTAAACCCAATCAAAGCCCGCACATGCCCTAATCTGCTAAAACCCACCCGGGGACAACATAGCCCACTGAAGCAAAAAGAAATTGCCTGCAAGAAGACTTGAACCCCAAGCCCTAAACCCTGAAGCCCCAAATTCTGAGATCTTCAACCCTATAAGCCCCAAAAATACACCGGAAACGGCACTGGGCCTAAATATGGGTATATAAATAATTAGACTAAATTTGTTTTTAGAGGGGGGGTATGTTGCAAAGATCCAGTGTCTGCTAGGCTTTGTGCTTGAGGATATGTTGCAAGGATCTAGGGACTGTGACGGCAGATAAACAAACTATCTAGGAATCCAGACCTCTGGATATACTTGGGGGCTCATGGGTAGTTTTAAGCGGAGCTGTACACCCCTTAACAGGGGTAATAATTTCAGTTACCCTACTTATAAGCCCACTTACAACTACCCATGAACCCCCCAGTCGGGTTTGTCTTCCGCGATCCGAGTTTCGGGCCCCTACAGTAGAAGCCCAAAAGTTGGAAACGCCAGAGCCTCCATCCTTAAGAGTAATGTATAGGGAATCCCGGCACTATTTGGCCTTTATTCAGTTTCCAACTTTATGGGGTTTACTGTAAACCCCTAAACCCTATAGATACCTTATGGACCCCTTAAGAGGAACCCCATAGATCCCCTTAAGGAGCCTTAAGAAACCCCTAAATCCCTCTGTTTCCAACTTTATGGGGTTTACCCTAAACCCCTAAACCCTAAACCCTAAACCCCTAAACCCTAAACCCCTAAACCCTAAAAACCCTAAACCCTAAACCCTCTGAGTGTCGGGTTTGGGCCTCGGGCCTCGAGCTTCAGCCCTGAACCCTACTTAAAGGATCATGGGACTTAGTAGGGTCCCGTTTAGGGATCTACAGGGGTACTATAAGGGTTTAGGGTTCAGGGTCTACTTAAAGGATCATGGGGCTTAGTAATTGGGGTTATAAGTAAGGTATCTACAGTTAAAATTACATATAACCTTAATTAAGGTACTTGTAGCCCTACTTACTAAGTCCCATGATCCTCCAAGTACTACACCCTGTGTTAGAAAACCACTCACGCGAGACTCCAATATCTCGTAATTAAGGACTATTCCTTCAATCATACATATTAGGGATCCTACTATAGTTTCAAGTTTTTCCTTAATCAAGGAATACTGGAGTCTATGTGTAAAACCCCGAGCTTGAAACCCTCCAGCCTTTACCACGAAACCTAAGGCCTAAAACCCGAAATGCCTACAGTATATCCCGAACCTCAAAGCGGAGGCAAAGGGCGGCCAGATCGTCTTTGCTCTCTTTCGTGGGGCTCCCGTTGTGGCCTCAAAGCTACAGGGTTGAAGGCTCAGGGCTTAGAGCTAAGGCTTTAGAGCTTTGTTAGGTAGGGTTTACAGTGTTTAGAGTTCCGTTCACCATCTTCCTCCTCAGGCTGTAACTCCGGCATCACCGATGTATGGCCCCCTGCAAGCAACCTCACGGTATCCTCACTCTCACCCATCATCACCGCATACTGGCTCTGCAGCAAATCCAGTGGCTTGTGTAAGTATCGTGAAGCCAGGGAGACTCCGGTTCTGCCTTCCGATTGCTTGTCGTGAGACATCGGAGCATTTCGTAGGCATTCTTGTCCGAAACGGAAGTCGCTGTTCCGATGAGCTTGCGAAATCTCTGTAGCGCATAGTAGTTCGCTGCGACGTTCAGGACACCCTCTTCCGATCTCCACGTTCCGAGATGGACTCCACAGACCACTGTCCGGGCTTTGAACCGGCAGAATAGTGGGGAACCGGACATTCCTGTGTACGAGGACGCGGTGTGGTGGATTGTGGCCATTAAAACCCGTCCAAAACCGGATACAAGAACTTTACGCTTATGTTTTGCCGGTTCAAGCTTAGGGTTTCCAGGGCCAGGGTTTAGACTGTAGTCAACCACAGAAAGTTGAAACATGGATTTAGGATGATTAGTGCCGGGATTCCCGGTACCTTAGAAGCATGAGGATGCCGATGATCCGACTTTCTGGCTTCTACTTTCCCCCAAACCCCAGGGTGCAGGGTTTGGTGGCCTCCATCAAGTCACATAGCTTCCCTTCCCAGACCCCGGAAAATCTGGAAAGTAGATCCCCTGATTTGGGGCCCTATACTACAAAGGGTACTTTATAGGAACCCCCATTAAGGGATCTACTTTTGGGATCCTCCCGGGGGTCTGGGTTGTCGTGGCCTCAGATTTACCAGGCCTGTAACCATGAGATGTGTGAAGAGCAGCTGAATCGTTGAAACATCCAAATCCTAAACCCCGAACCCAAACCCTACCTGTAGGCTCATACCCTACCCCTTTTAGGGTATCTACTTCTCTATGTAATAGATCCGAGCCCTAAAAGTAGGTACCCTAAAAAAGGGGGTCATGGGCAAAATACAAAGCCTATTGCCCAGACCAGCCAGCTTGCTCACTCACAGCGTCCGACACGCTGAACCGGTAAGTGTGCATTGGGATGAAAACTTCACACTTCGAAACATGAAAAGTTAAGCCCTGAAAGGAACCCCTCAAAGAAACCCTGCCCCCCTATATACTAAAGCCTGGGCCCAAAGAAACAAATCCTAAAAGTCTAAGCCCCTAGAAAACCTAGCATAAAACCCTAAAAGACGCTCAATGGGATCCCAAGAACAGCCTTCTAAGTCCGTGTGCGGGCCTTGAAGCTTGGCTATCTCTGCCTGACCGAAGCTTCGGCATTGTTGGGTTCTCAAAGGCTCGAAAACCCCTTCCCCCCCGCCCATAAAGGGTCCAAGGACCTGATCATCATATACCCTTCCATACAAACGACTATCCTAAAGCCAAGTAGTTACCTCACGCTTACCTCTCTGTACCCCTAGGGTATCTAACTGTTGAATAACTAATGATTGCACTCGGGAATCCGGAACACACGACATGACGCCAGGGCGTAAACTGCAAAAGATGGGCTTATGCTACAGGTCCAGCACTGATAGGTTAAGGCTTGCGAGCACCCTAAGGGTCCTTGTGCCCAAATAATATATACTTTGGCCCCAAACTAGGTATAGAGGGCCTACTTTAAAACCAAAGTATATACAACTTGGGTATATGAGCCCTAATGCGCTCTAAACCCTTACAGGAAGCCTTCAAGGCACCCCTTTGGGCACATACATGTACCCTTAGGGATATGAAGCGTCTGAAAGGCCCATAACTCAGGGTCTGGGCCTACCCCGAACAAGTTTTGAGGACATATGGGAGCTTCCGAAAATTAGGGGTACCTTATTTTGGGGTCCTCATAATAAGGGTCCTAGTATTTAGGGTACTATATTGGGGTCCTTTATTTTCGGAAACTTCCATATAGCGCTGCTGACAGGATCATGGGACTTAGTAAATAGCGTGATGAGTGAAGCAACAATACTTATAGTTAATCACTTATAACCCCAAATAAGGGCGCTTTTATCCTAACAGAACCCCGGGATCGTCAAACTACATCAACAAGCCTTAACCCTATAGAGTGGCATACCCACCCCCTAAACCCGCAACCATCAAACCCCAAGCCCCCAACCCTAAACCCAAAACCGTGTACCTTGAACCCTTAACCCCAAGCCCTCAACCCTAAATCCCAAGCCCCTCAAAAATTGGCTTGAACCCCAAAACGGCCAAACGCACAACCATACATCATAAAGACAACTCAAAAGACAGCCGCCCCCCCCGCTCCAATGCCCGCCTGGTGTCTTTGAAGCAGGAGAGACCGCAAGGCATCCTCGGGATGGGGGACGTCTTGGAGAAACACTGTTAGGGCCTCGTCTGGGGCCTGAAAAAATTGAATAGGGTTTTGGGACCCATTATACCATAATTATATATGCAAAGATCCCCCCCAACATAGTACAGGTAATTATTACGGCCCCTATATTAGGTTTAGGGTTTAGGGTTCGATTGAGGGTTCTGTAACCGGGGTTCAGGGCTTTAGGGATTTCAGGTTTTGGAGTTTAGCATACAAGGGAAAAGTGTTCCTTGGGGATCCTGTCAAGAGTTCCTCTACGGGTTCGTTTGAAATTTCCCGTCAAAGTTCTGTAAGGGTATGATGGTTTAGGTGTCGATATGTGGTTTAGGTATGTTCTCGGTGGGCCCAGTACGAATTCCCACCTATAACCCTAACCTAAACAGTTCGTCTTCCAAACTCGGGCAAGTGCAGGCGGGATCCACGATTTCTGCCGAGAGGCGATCATGGCTAAGTAAACTCTAAGCCAAAAACCCTTTCTACTTCAGCATCCTGTTGTAGAGCTCCATCATAACTGAGTGGGTACTGAGCAGCCCTGCTGACACCCGAAGCTACCCCTGAATAGCAAACACCACATTGTATATAGTATATTATGGGTTTAGGGTTTAGGGCTTATAAAGGGTACTGTACTTATACTAAGGTAATAAAGGAACCCTAAACCCTTCTAGAAGCCATAAAGGAACCCTTAAAGGAACCCTCTAAACACTTTCTCGAAGCCTTTTTGGAACCCTTCAAGGAACCCTATAAGCCCTTATAGAAGCCCTTTAAGGGAACCCTTCAAGGAACCGTAGAAGCCCTATATAAATGAGCCCTTAAGAACGGCAAGGTGCAAGCTGGGAGGTCAAGACAGCCTCGTAGGAATCCGACGCCATGGCTCAAGCCCTTTTAAAGGGATCCTATAACAGTTCCGTTAAGGGCATCCTATGAGGGTTCCTTAAAGGGTACTTTATACGGGTTCCTTCAAACCTAGATCCCGCAACTACCCTCTAAAAGGTGGCACGGTGGTCCTTTTACAGGAAGCTTTAGAGTACCCCGTTTTAGGGGCTTAGGGTTTGGGGTTTTAGGGTTTTAGGATGTAGGGTTTAGGCTTTTACGTTTTACCAGGACCCCCCCAATGTGCCTTAAATAGAATCCTTATGGCCCTTAATTGTGGGTATTTGGGTATATTAGAGGAGGGTAGTTGGGGGATCTAGGTTTGAAGGAACCCTTATAAAGTACCCTTTAAGGAACCCTCGTAGGATCCCCTGAAGGACCCGTTACAGTATCCCTTTAAAGGACTTGACGAAATGGATGCGAGTAAGCCTGTGCCGCGAAGCTTCGGAGTTAAGGGTGCGAGGTATAAGAAAATGAGCAAAGAACACGGCTTTGAGAATCCGTAAACCCCTCAACCCCAACCCCGAAGATTGGTTCTTGATACTTTCAGGGTTTAGGGCAGCTTCGGGTTTAGGTGTTCGGGCTTTTGAGCTTCGGGTTATCTGCCACGGCGCGCTGAAAATTTGGCGGGGCTTCAGCCGAGAAGGCAATGGGAGATGGCTGCAGCTCCGCTTTAGCTGATCTCGAGTTTGCTCTTTTAAGTCTTTGGGGCTTATAGGGGCTATAGGGATTTTAGGGTGGAGGGGATACGGTTTAGGGACTTTAGGGTTTAGGGTTCATGGACTTCTATTTTTAGGGTTTAGGGTAATATAAGGACTCTACATAGGGTTTAGGGGCCAGGTTAGGCAGGGTTTAGGGTTCATGGACCTAGCGACTCCTACACCCCGTAATATAGAGGCCCTAATGATTAGAATAAGGTTTCGGGGTCAAATGAGACTGATGCCACCTCAGTTGCGAGGTTGTCCAGGTGCAGTGTCCCGTGATCAAGGAGCTGCCTTGCCTGGCATCGCGGTGTCAGCGGCGGTAACTCTTTGTGCCTCCCATCGATGTCTGAGAATATGACCACTTCGGCATTTATGTCTGGTTCTGTGCATTCTTGGTCACTGTCATCCTCGTTTTCGTAGCAGCCGGTCGCTTCCATTGCCTCCAGAACGTTCAAAATGTCGATGACCTCCGTGCTCATGCCGCGCTGCTCCATTGCCGGTTGGAGAGTCGATGGACTTAGTGGTTCCGCAGCTTGCAAGGTAACGTGGCGCCACTTAACTCGAGCCCATACACGGACAGCAGATCCTGCTCTTCTCTGGGTGTGTTGGTGCATTGCTCGACGAGTTGGCGAACCCTGATCTTTTACAGGTCTGGGCTTTTTGATGATCTTTAGGTCTGCATATAGTTAGACCTTTTTAAGCTGTTGCTGGAGGTCTCTGGGTTCTCCATAAGGTCTCTGGAGCTCTTCCCGTCCTTATCTAGGAAGAACGAAATCCTGCGCAGGAGGCTTCTGGAAGTCTCTGGGCCTTTTCTACAGGTGGAGCGATTTCCTGTCTAAGAGGCTTCTGGAGGTCTGTGGGCCTCTTATACAGGTAGAACGAACTCCTTTCCAACAGGTTGCTGGCGGTCTTTGGGCCCTTCAAATAGGTGGAGCAAATCCCTTTTAAGAGGCTTCTGAGGCTTCTGGAAGTTTCTGGGCCTTTCCTGCAGGTGGAACGAAATCCTTTGGAGCAGGCTTCTGCAGGTTTCTGAGACTTTCATATAGGTAGAACATACCTTTTCAAGAAGCTCATGGATCATATAGGCAGAACAGAGTGTTTTCGAAGAGGCCTCTGGAGGTCTCTGGGCCCTTCATATAGGTCGCACGTATCCCTGTCAGGAGGCTTCTGGTGGTCTCTGGGCCCTTCATATACGTAGAGCAAAATCCTTTCCAAGAGGCTTCTGGAGGTCTTTGGGTCCTTCCTATAGGTGGAAGAAGTCCTGATGGAGGACTCATCTGGAGGTCTGTATGGGAAGCCTAACGTTGACACCGGCTGCGAAACCTGCGCCTTTGTTTCATGGTCGCGGATGCACGGCTGAACCAAAAATGCACTACCGTATAGGTGAAACGGTGGGGGGCCGGACTTACAGCCTGGAGCCTGGTCCGTCCTGGGCACACTCCTTCGGCGAGACTCTTACCAGTCGAAGAAGTCATCTGGCTGGAATAGCGTGAGCTGCAGTTCGGGAGGGCCCTTGCCCGCTTCTTTGCTCACTGCTTTGCAGCCGTTGTCGGCGTACACCAATACTTCGCCTTTGCACTTGCAACGTCCTTTGGAACCGCCTTTCGAATCGAAGCTTTCTTTACCGCGGATCGTGCCGTTGCCCTTGCCGGCTCCCTTTGCGCTCAAAGCCTCCATGCAGCTGATCAGACCTGCAAGATTGAATGCTGATAGACGGAGACTTCTGTGCATGCTGGCAGACTTGGCCTGGTACGTGCCAAGCGCCGTCGGGTTGTCTCACTTCGCGCTTGTATGGTCTGTGCAAGTTGGGTCCACCTTTGGTGCAGCACGCTGACAACTGCTTGTTCATCGAGGCCGCACTTGCATCTGTGTTTAAGCCGAGGACGTTCTGCACTGCCTAAGGCGATCAACATCTTGCGCAGGTATGTGTGTTCGGCGCCCAAATTGTCCCGGCGGTAGAGTTCCTGCGTTGCAGATTACATGTTTCTGGGAGCCACGCGAGAGAACGTGCTTGTGCCACACTCTCCAGGGCTTTGTCGAACTCTCGCCCTTGTAGGCCTGAACAAGGATGGCCAGACGCGATTTCCCAGACTTTGAAGTGTCGGTGCAGCAACGCTCGTCGTGGCGGCCTCGCATCACGGTGCTAATGCTTTCGGCCATGGTGCTGTAGGTGTGTCGGGAGGACTGGAGCGCCGAGCTTGATTTGTTTAGCTGCCGCAGATGGACTCGTTCGATCACCACAAGATGCACAGCTCTGAGCTCCCCATGTAGGTGGAACCAACTCAGGGTCCCACTATATCATACTTATGATAAGGAACCCCCCAAACTACTATCAGGAGTTCTTTAGGCCCCTATTGCAAAGAAAGCTAACGCTTGGAGTTGAGGATTTTCGAGCTCGGGGTTCAAGAGCTTAGAATTGAGGGTTCGGGTTTTCGTACTTAGTAATTAAGGTTGTAAGCACCTTAGTTGGGGTTATAAGCCATTCTAGTTACAACTGTAGTTACTTTACTTACAACCCCAATTACTAACTCCCATGATCCTTTACGTAGAGACTCCAAAACCCCGTGAGTAAGTCCCTTTGAGGATTCCTTTGAGGGGTCTTGCAAGGGTTTTGCAAGGGTTACTACGGTTGATGATGCAAATCCTGCATTACCTTAAGGACCCTAGACTTTGGGAATCATGGTATATTCCTTATTGTGGGTAATGCATGATTTATATCATCAACAGTATCGCCCGGGTCTGCTACCGGGGTCTCAATAATTCGCAGAGACTCCAGGACCGCTCACTGAAGGAATATAGTGTAGGGGCCTTAATAATTAGTTTACGGTTTGGGGGTATAGTATACTAATTACAAGTATGATAAGGAACCCGCCAAAACAGTATAAGCAACTATTTAGGCCCCTATAATATTACCTAAACTCCCAGTAAAACATGCCTCTGTGAGAATCTAAACGATTAAACTTTTAGGTCGAAAGAAAGCGGGGACTTTGGGTTTTTGGTGTCCAGGGTTTCCCAGAGACTCCACAAACCCTTCAGCTAGGGTTTAGGGTTCAGGGTTTAGGGTTCCTTTGAGCATTCCATTGAGGTTTACTTTCATGGTGGGAAGCTACGTGCTAGCAGAAGTACAACTTAGTTGCTGAGTTCATAAGCGACAAAAAGTGTACACTTCTAGTTTTGTAGCAAGTAGTACTATCCAATAAAAAAGTGTATGTAAGGTGTATCGACTCAGCTACCAAGATACGGTTTTCGAATTTTAGAACCTCGGGGTCTTAACCCTAAACCCCTAAACCCCTCAACCCTTATAAACCCTAAACCGTCAGGGCTTTGCAGGTTTCAGTGTTCACCGATCGTCGGTCTCACCGTGGCTGGCTTTAGGGGTCTAGCGGTTTAGCGGTTAGGGGTTTAGGGTTTGGGGTTTAGGGGTTAGCGGTTTACGGGGTTTAGGGTTTGGGTTCAGGGTGAAGGCTGGTTTCTCCATTCAGGGCCCTGCCAAGATCGAGGGGATACAAGGTAGATAGGAATAATGCAAGGGCCTTTGATACTCAGAATAGGGTTTTGGGGGCTCCTGATGATAATGATAGCACATGACACCAAACCCTAACTGTTCTTATTATTCAGGCTCCTACATTAAGGACCCCATCCCACCTTTTGAGGCTTCTGATCCAGGCTGTAAAGGTCAGCCGATGTTGCTACAACGACCGCCCTCGGTAGGCACGGCTTCAGGTATGAAGCCGTAGTCCTGAATCTGGAAATACCTCCCCAAGACAGGGCATCCGGATATCTTACTTAGAGGATCATGGGACTTAGCAAGAAAATGAGGGTTATACCTACCGTCGTTGGGGTTATAAGTATTTATAACTGTAGTTACCTTATTTCTCACCCCAATTACTAAGTCCCATGATCCTTTAAGCAGTGATTAAGCAATTCAGCGCATTCACGTGTGTCCGGGGGGGGGGTGGGTTGCAAGGTTGGGGCTGAGGGCAACGGTCGGCAGCTGTTCTTTCGTCAAGGGGCTGAAGAACCAAGACCTTCCAAAACCCCTTAATTCAGGAATATATCTTAAACTATATTATTAGGGATCCCATTTATAAGAATATACCTTAAACTATATTTTTAGGGATCCTATTATGATTTAACGTATATTCCTTAATTAAGGGGTTTTGGAGGCTCTGGGAAGCTGCTGTGGCCCCGAGACCCTGAACAGCAAACCCGGGAGACCCGAAACCCCAAACCCTAAACCCTAAACTCTAAACCCTAATCCCTGAACCCTAAACCTCTCTTTCATATGATAATTTAAACCCTAATGCCCTTCGTCGTTTAAGGTCAACCCCTTCGTTTAAGGTCACTTTTTCGTTGTTTAAGGTCGAATTTTCATCGTTTAAGGTCAAACCTTCGTCGTTTAAGGTCACCCTTCGTCGTTTAAGGTCACCCTTCGTCGTTTAAGGTCACCCTGTTTAAGGGTTTGGGCTTTAGGGTTTACGGCCTAGGGTTTGGGCTTTAGGGTTTAGGGCCTAGGGTTTGGGCTTTAGGGTTTAGGGCCTAGGGTTTGGGCTTTAGGGTTTAGGGCCTAAGGTTTGGGCTTTAGGGTTTAGGGCCTAGGGCTTGGGCTTTAGGCTTTAGGGTTTAGGGCCTAGGGTTTCTGCAAGGCGGAAACGATGACACATTTCCGGCCTGAAATGTGTCATGCTTCTGTCTGTAAGGCGGAAAAGATGACACATTTCCGGCCTGAAATGTGTCATGCTTAGCATTCCGAACGCCCCAATAAGCGAAACAATTCTTGCAAGAGGTATTCCTTCCTAACGCCCCAATAAGCGAAACAATTCTGCAGGAGATTTCCATTCCGAACGCCTCAATACGCGAAACAATTCTGCAAGAGGTATTGCTTCCTAACGCCCCAATAAGCGAAACAATTCTGCAAGAGATTTCCATTCCGAATGCCCCAATAAGCGAAACAGTTTTGCAAGAGGTAGTGCGTCCTAACGCCCCAATAAGCGAAACAATTCCGGAAGAGATTTCCATTCCGAACGCCCCAATAAGCGAAACAATTCCACAAGAGGTTTGCCTTCCAAACGCCCCAATAAGCGAAACAATTTTTATTAGCCCTTGCTTATTATGGAAGTGGTGGGTGCTTAAGCAAGGGCTAAATTATGAAGAAATTTGTATATCCTAGTGTTATGAGGTTCTTTGGGTGGCTAGATTCACAACTTTCGTTTATGTTAGTGCTTTTGGTGTTGTATAACGTTCGGCGATAATAGTTTTAAACTGTGAATGAATTGAAACTTTGGCTTATGTTATGGGATTCTAAGGGTGGGTGGGTGTTATTTCTAAACCGTAAATACAACTCTACTTTAGAACTGCTCGATCCGGAGCTGCTGAACTCTAAGCCCCAAGCCCTAAACCCTGAACCCTAAACTCTAAGCCCTAAACCCTAAACCCTAAACTCTAAACCCTAAACCCTGAACCCTAAACCGACAGCCGAGATCAGCGTAAGTCGTAAATGCGGTGCATTTACGATGGGTTAGGGACCATGAGGTCTCCATGAACCTACCCTACTTAAAGGATCATGGGACTTGGCAAGGTCCCGTTTAGGGATCTATAGGGGTACTATAAGGGTTTAGGGTTTAGGGTCTACTTAAAGGATCATGGGACTTAGTAGGGTTATCAGTACGGTAACTACATTTCTAACTGCTTAGAACCCCAATTAAGGTACTTATAACCCTACTTACTAAGTCCCATGATCCTTTAAGTAGGGGTCCATGTGCCCCCAAAAAATCTATTCTTTGGCCCCAATTAGAGCACTCTCTCTATATATGGGAAAGTTGGGGGCCACAGTACATTCCACTTGTGTACAGTACATGGAGCCTTAAACCCTAACCCTTATTAACTTATGGTACCCTTGAAGGAGGCCGTATTTGGGCACATGGACCCTCCAGGCAACTTACCATGAACCTGCTGCACAGACACTGCAGCATCGAACCGACTAGGGTTCCGGATGTCTCGAAGGCTACCTAAAACCTGAAACCTAAACCCTAAACCAAGAAATTCGGGCTTATCGATGTTGGAAAATCTGGAAGTCTAGATGGGAATCGGAGCTCGAGGTCGAGGGGTTTGGGTTAAAGGGGGTGGGGATGGGCCACAAACTTCCGGCTTAGGTTTTAGTCAGTGCCCAAAGTTTTTGATTCCCGGAATTGCCATCCGACAACCACCCATATGTCCACATCATACCCCTCGCACGAAATCGAGCACTGGGGAAGTATTGTGCAGAAAGGCGCAATCGGCCAGAAGACCCCATCAATCCTAAAGGTCCTGAACCCTATACACCCTAAACCCTTAAACCCTAAACCCTTAAACCCTAAACCCTATAAACACTAAGCCCTACACCCTAAACCCCTTAAGCCTAAACCCTAAACCCTAAACCCTATAATCCTTAAACCCTTAAACCCTAAACTCTTAAACCCTAAACCCTAAAGCTTACTCACCGGCAACCAACCCGCAAGCACTGGGTCTATGACGCCCAACATGCCTGATGGCTAAGGATGGTGCCCGGTGCCTGCCTTCCATGAAGAGTTTGGGGCCCCGGTTCAGGGTTGAGGGTTTAAGGTCTACGGGATTTTAGGGTTTGGGGGTTTAAAGTCTATAGGTTTTATAGGGCTTGGGGTCTACAATTTTTGACGGGTTTAGGGTAAGCGTTAGGGTTTCGGCTTTCAGAAACTGGCGCAAGGGCACAAGACCACAGCGCCGGCCAAGGTGACCAACACGGCCAAGCCAGAAGCAACCTGCACCAGATCACCCTAAAGAAAGCCCTAAACCATAGAAGCACTATATTCGAAACTTTGAACCCCTCACCCGAATACCACGAACTAGCGAACTACCACCATAAACTCCCATACCTCAACCCTACGTACACGCTAACGGAGCCAGGACTGATAGGTTTCATTGGTGTCTACTGGGCAGCTTTCTGATGAAGGCTGCAGTGCATCTAAACTGGGGAGGAGTCCCTACGGTTGATGATAAATCCTGCATTACTTTCAGGACCCTAAGCTATGGGATTTGTGGTAAATTCCTTATTATGGATAATGCAGGATGAAACCCTACCCTAAACCCTAAAACCCTATTATAGATCCCTTAAAGAGCCCCTCAAAGGTAGCCTTATCGATCCCTTTAAAGGTACCCCTAGGGTTGACGAAGGGGGAGGTCCTTGAGGGTTACCGAGAGACTCCTATCCCCCTTACTTAAGGAATAGCTTAAGGCTTAGGGTTTTAGGGTTTAGGCTTTAGGGTTTAAGGTTTATAGGGTTTAGGGTTTAAGGTTTAGGGCTTAGGGTCCCCACCCTGTAATAGTGGTATAATAGGCACATAATAGGGCCCTTATATAATCCTTATATAATCCTTATACTCACTATTACAGGGTGGGGGCAGCTTCTAAGGAATACCTTAACCCCAAATAACCTACCTTTTTAAGGACTTATACAAGGAAATGATATTAGGGAACCCTAAAACAGGTAGGTTCCTTAGGGTCCAGGTATACCTTAAATCAGATAAGGGATCCTACTATGATTTAAGGAATATTCCTGAATTAAAGGGTGTTGGAGTCTCTGGGTAAATGCGGGTTGAGGGATCCCTTGTTGATTGAGGTTGTTTGTCCTGCTGTGCCAGATTTCACCCTCAACCCTAAACCCTAAGCCCTAAACCCTAAACCCCTAAACCCTAAACCCTAAACCCCTAAACCCTAAACCCTAAACCCTAAACCCTAAGCCCTAAACCTTAAACCCCTAAACCCTAAACCCTAAACACTAAACCCTAAACCCTATAACCCTCAACCCTAAACCCGTTCAGCCTCGAACCCCCAGGCTGAACACGAAGGACTCGAAAACACGAAAGCCGTGCCCTTTTTCGAAGTGTGATGCAGCCTCTCTTTCTTTAGGGTTTTAGGACCTAGTGCAAGCGAAACAGATAATCCCGTGCGCCTGGGTACTGAGAAGTTTCCGGAACTGCAAAATGAAAGGTCCTAAACCTCTGGCAGCCTTATGCAGACGATTTCGGAACCGCTCCATTCACCATTACCTAAGAGTCCAAGAACCCAAACAACAGGGCTTTAGGCAGCAAAATCCAGTCAAGTTATGAAGCTTGGGACAACAAAACGCTACAATGTACTAACTTAGGGGCGAGTATCCTAGCACAAAAAAGGTTAACCTTTTCAACCATGGTAGGATTATATAAACCCCAAAAGGTTAAAGGTTAGCCACTCAGCCCCCATCCCACAGAAGCAAGCGATACTCCTTGGGGGCCAAAAAACACAAGCATAAGCATTTTGTAGGGATATCCCGACCTTAATGGGCTTCATTACAATGGGGGGTTATATACGGGATATCCCCATCCCCATTGTTGCTTATGCGTTTTTTTTTTTTGGGGGGGGGGGGGGGCCCATCCTCCGGTCAATTTAACGCCGCAGGGTGGATTCCGAGTATGTTCTCTGAACCTACCCAAACCCAGAACGACCCCTGCAGACACAAGAACTACTAAAAGGATCATGGGACTTAGTAATTGGGGTAACAAGTAAGATAACTACACTTATAATTACTTGTAACCCCAATTAAGGTACTTATAAGCCTACTTACTAAGTCCCATGATCCTAAGGACCCCTGCAGAAACAAGGGTTACTCCTTGAATCAAAAGCCAAAAGGTTGCGAATGTGCAGTATTAAACTTAAAACTGGAACCTACTCCTTGAATCAAAAGACAAAAGGTTGCGAATCTACAGTATTCAACTTAAAACTGAAACCTGTTCCTTGAATTGAAAGCCAAAAGGTTGTGAATCTGCAGTATTCAACTTAAAACTGAAACCTACTCCTTGAATTTAAACCGGACTTTGAACCCATAAAACACCAGAGGTACGGCGCTTCTTTAGTGCTTCGGAGGCGAATAGAGTCCACTCGAGTTAGGTCTCTCGCATGCTCTCGCCGTAGGACATTGTAGACCCTAAACCTTAAACCCTAAACCAAGACTTTGGAATCTCCAAGAGGTTTAAAGTTGCAGAAGCCCAAAAGTTGGAAACCCCGTAGCCTCAATCCTGAAGAGTAATGAGTAATAATTCGGGAATCCAAGCACTATTTATCCTTGATCCGGTTTCCAACGTTTTGGGGTTACTGTAAGCTATACTGACCTTAGACCCCTAGCAAAATGATAATTTTAGCTGTTTCTTAGTGATTACACTAACCAAAGAGTAGACATTATTTGAAAAGTACCCCTAGGTAGGTTCTTGTGCCTCCAGAGCAGTGCTCCAATTCCTTGGGCCAGGTTGCGATCGCGTGAAGATGTTGTAACCAACCTGCCATGTGAGTTTATCTGAGGCTTCATGGGCTCAGTTAGGGTTTAGGGCTTTAGGGGTTTAGGGGTTTAGGGTTTGAGGGCTTTAGGTTTTACAGTAGGGTTTACCAGGACCCCGAAGGCCCTTATGGTCCTTAATAGTGAAATGGGTTTAGTAGAGAGTGGTTGGGGGGTCTAGGTATGCAGCGATTTCCAAGTGTTCTACGGAGGGTTCTACCTAACCTACTTGTACGTACGCATGAACCTTCAAGCGTACCATTCCGGCGACACCTGCTCCGGCGCCATCCCGGAATATCACGGCAGCAGCATCTGAACCCCCCAAACCCTAAACCCTCAACAACTATAGCTCCTAAACCATTAACCCTACCTCGACATAAAGCCTCAGAGTGGTCTGCGGGGCCATTGACATCGCAGCATTCGAGCTCTTAGCCTGCAGCCAGGCCCCCGAAAAATCAGCTTCCTAGATAGACCCTAGCCTTAACACGAAAACCCTAGCACTTGGGCTTAGGCGGGGGATTCTGTACCATGAGTTTAAGGAGTCATGAGGACCAATAGCAGTGGTGAATCATGCAGGCTTCTATGCTCGGGCTTAGGCATTTACCTCATGCTTGTAGCTCCCGTAGACAACAAGCACCATAAACCCGAAAGGCTTGCACCCACAACCGCACACCCAGGCCTTGCACTCAAAGTCCTTCTTGCCAAATCCCCATTTCCTAAACCCTAAACCCTAGACTCTAATCCCTGAGCCCTATCACCGCTTCGTCACCCGGAAGTACAGCACCCTGAGATCTTAATCACAGTACCTAGAGGCTGATACACTACCCCTCTTTAAGGGTACCTAATTTTCTATATAACCGCTCCTAACCATAAAATTAGGTATCCTAAAAGAAGGGGTAGGGTACGACCCTCTAGGTAAAGATGCAGCGAAAATCGTGGACGGAGTCGGACCACTTGAAATTGTGTGTGTGGTCAGGCAAGCCTAGGCCATAAACCCTAAACCCTAAACCATAAACCCCAAAATCCTCCGCTCGGTTTCCATACCCAGCACGGGATGGTCTACGGTACATTGGCCCGTAGATACCCCAGAGGGTCCGAATACCCACATAGTAGGGCTGTATAGAGGTGTTGTTGAGCAGGCGTTTAGCAGTATGGTTCCATATCCTCGTGCGGTACACATTTTGGCTTTGCAGGCTTTGCTGTAATTATAGTACCCTAAAGGTCCAAGTACCCAAGTAGCAGGGTTTCAAAGTCCAAAACACCACTCAGAGTAATTTGTGGATTTTGGGACCTAGCAAAATATTTTAATATTAGCTGTTTGTTAGGGATTTTAAGAAGCAAAAATGAAAAAAAAACAACTAAGTACCTCTGAGTAGATCCTAAATGACTCGAAACCCGAAAGCAGGCATCCTTGACCCAACGGAATAAACAGGGCTGTGTCTGTCACCTGACTTAACCCTAAATCCTGAGCCTAAGCCCTAAACCTTACGCCTAAACCCGGAACCCCACACCCTCAACCCTAAAGGCTGAACCCTACACCCCACAAGCCCTAAAACCTGAACCCTAGACCTAAAACCCTAAACCCCCAAAACCCTAAACCCTACACCCTAAGCCCCAAAACCCTAAACCCCCTTCTTCTTCTTCTTCCACAGCTCTCTGACGTCCAAGTGTCTTGGCTGAGCAGGTGGCATATTACAGAAATGACTGCCGCAGCGTTTGAAACGCAAACCTCCTACAGCGCATGACAGCACAGCACAAGCTGCCATACCCTACACCCTATAAAACCTAAAGCTCCAAACCCAAACCCCTAAAAACTACACCCGATAAACCCTAAAGCGCCAAACCCTAGACCGTAAACCCTAAACCCGACACCCCAAACCCGAAACCCCAAAGCCCTAAACCTTCAAAGCCCTAAACCCAGGAGGCACCAGGCCGAGGACGGCCAGGTAAGAGATGCCCTCCGCCGCACCGAGCAAACCGAATGGACCTCTTGGCTTTAGGGATCTTCGCTTTCGGGACGGGGGGTTTGGGGTTTTTAAGGTTTAGGGTTTAGGGGTTAGGGTTTGGGGTTCAGGGGGTTAGGGTTCAGGTGTTCAGGGTTTTGGGTTCAGGCTTTCGGGTTTCTGGGTTCAGGAATTAGGGTTCACAAGCCCGCAATAGCTCTTTCATAGATTCAGGGGTTTCGGGCTGAGAGTTCAGGAGTTCCAGGTTTAGGGGCAAACCGAATGGACCTATGTGGTTTGTGGTTAGGGATTTGGGGCTTAGTGGCTAAGGGGGTTTGGCTCGAGGCAAATCCGATTGAATCCGCAAATCCCCAGCCCAGAAGAGCCCACTTCAAAAACTGTTGACAACATATGAAACCGTGCGTATGCACTACCCAGGCACTCTTGCAGCTCCACAATATCAGCAAGAACCACACAAAACCACAAACCCTGAAACCCTAAGCCCTCTATCCGTTGAAGGCAATGCCTGCAGGCAAACCGCAGCCAGTGCCTTTGGCTCAAGCTCTATTGTTCTGTGACTTTGGTTCAGAATCTTTCGGTCGGAGGGTTTTGGGTTGAGATTGAAGGGTTCAGAGTTCAAGGTGTGGCGGGATTCGGGTCTCTGCTGGTGTTATTGGAGGAGTTTAGTTCAATAGCGGACTTCTCCAGTTTTGGCTAACCGCCGAGATTGTATGAAGGTTAAACTTGAAGTAACCCACAAGGTTCTGTACGACTAAGTGGGTAGTTGCTTTGCGGCTCAGTGCTTTTGGAACTACAGTAGTCTAAGGCGATTGGATCCTTGGTGCAAGAGATAAGGGTGCAGGTATACGATCGGTGATGGCTGCTTTAAAAATTAAAACCTAATATATAGGGGTGAGGGTTTAGGGCTCAGAAATCGGGGTAGGCATGAAATCCAGACTCTAACTATGCTCTTCCTTGTTGTTCGACGGATCTTATTAAGTACACTGGAGGGGTATAAGCGCGAAACCTGAACCTTACAATCATACTGACCCATGAAACAATATGCCCAGCACTGTATCTAAACCCTAAGCCCTAAACCCTAGACCCTATCGCCTTAACCTCTAAACCAGAAACCCTAACACTTCAGCTCTAAACTGCAACTCTAGTTGGAGGATGATGCGATGAAGCAAGTAGTGTTGAAACGATTTTATTCAGGGGTTGTCAGCAACTTCAAGTAAGCCCCGGTCTATATCACACTAGTAGTTGCTAAGCCGCATGACACTTGAAACCCCAAAACCCCCTAAACAAACCCTAAACCATAAAAACCTGAGCCCTTATGGATTCCTTTAAGGCACCATTCAAGTTGCTGAGTCTCACGACCTCGTAAGTGGGGGGAAGTGCATGCGACACTCGGCCCTGGTGTTTCAGACTTCTGCTTCGTCTAATATAGGGGCCTTAATAATTAGAATACGGTTCCGTTTTAACGGGGACTCTAAGGGATGCTAAAAGGGCTACTAAGGGCTACTATAGGGGGTTTAGTATAGGGTCCTTAAAAATTCAATCAGGGTTTTGGGGCCCATTATACTACAATTATGATAAGGAGCCCACAAAATTGTATTGGTAATTTTTTGAACCCTGTAGTAGGATGGAACCTAAACCCTACCTGAAGCCCATAACACCTACGTTCTTTGTTGTGATTTCCCTGTGGACATCCTTCAAAAGGTGGGTTGTTTTGGGTTAAACAACGTTATACCTACACCGTTGAGGGTTTAGAGTTGTTCCTAAACCCATGGCTCAATTCTTATCTGAACCCCTAAACCCTGAACCCATGACTCGTTTCTTCATCTGAACTTGCCAGGTTACTTTTAAGAGTCCACTCGCTCCAAGCCATGATCAGCGAAGCTCCGATGCCTGCCTGCAGGCTCCGTAAAACCAGGGGTAAAAGGAGGGACCCTTAATAAGGACCCCTAGGTATATACCCTTAATATATCCATAATACACTCATTATATAGCCCACTATAGGGTACGGGTTCCCATTAAGGGTCCCTCCTTTTCCCCTTTGAGTAAAGGTTCCTCATGTTGAAGTTTGGGTCTTATGGGGGCTTATGGGGTTTTGGGCCGTAGGGCACGACTGGACTTCGGCTGATGTGGGAGGTGTAGAACAAATACAACCATATGATTGCTGCTTGTATGCATCTCGATGGACAGCCCTAAACCTGATCCCAACCTACAGCACAATCATACGAGTCAGGCTGCATGAGCTGAAGGATTTGCCTAAAGAGGTGAACCAAGCAACCTAAACCCCATACCCTAAACCCTAACGGAAGGAGCCAGGGGCCACGATGTCGGAAAATTCAGTCTGCTAACTTTGTGATGTTGTCCGGCGGTAACAAGCACAGTAATATAGACGCCTTCATAATTACTGATATTATTCCTTAGGGTTCCTTGGTACATTTATAAAGCTTATAGTATATCCCGCGAAAAACCTCTTCTAAATGTAAGGGCTAAAACATGTACGGTACACAACTTCTGAATGTGATGATCTGAAAGTTTAAACCCTAAACGCCACAGCTCTCCAACCCTACCTCACTAGACCCGAAACCTCGAGCATCGACCCACGCTAAACCCTAAACCCCAGAACCTTCTCAACGTAAAAACCGTAAACCTTAACCCCTACACACCGTAAATTTCTCATTCCACCCGAGCTGTATTATGATTTCCCTATCATGGCTTCCTTGTATAAGTCCTTTGAAACAAACCTAGGATATATGGGAGTTTCAGAAAATTAGGGCTACGATAATTTGGTGTTCTTATGATCAGGATCCTACTATTTAGGGTACTCTATTAGGGTCCACCACTTTCGGAAACTCCCATATAAGTCCTGCAAAACAAAACTATGCCATTTCGTGATTTTCTTATGACACCCAGCTGCTGCTCCGAAAACGGCGCCCTCGCCGGCATCCTTGGTGTCGGCTCCAGCCTCAAATCCGAACAGGGGCTGGGTTTAGGGTTGAGGGTTTTATTATAGTAACCTTAAAGGAACCCTTAAAGAAGCTCTTGAAGGAGCCCTTGAAGGGACCCTATTCTAGAACCCTATGGTATATTAGCTTGAAAATGCGACCCTATTCCAGAACCCCTCTGGCACCCTTTAAAGGGGACCCTATTCTAGAACCGTATGGTATCCTTCAAAAGACCCTATTCCGGAACCTTACATTAGCCCCTGTATATATAGTACCCTTTGCAGGCATCGTCAATGCAGCCCCGGAGGCATTTGCAAACATGCATGCAAGGATTTTTGGAGGTTGGGGTTGTATGGCTTTGGGCCTTTAACCGTTGCCAGCCGGATGATGGTTTGGGGTTTGGGATATCCTCTTATATATATATATATATATGGAGCGCAACAAAACCCCGTGCACACCATGTTTAACAATCGAAAACGAAGCCGTAGAAACGGCATCGGAAACCACCGTAGCAACCACAGCTGGAGGTCTATTGTTCGAGTCTTAGTAACAACCCGAAATCCAAATGCTAACAATCGGTCTCCTATGCCGAACTATGCTATACGGTCAGACCACCCGAGCCCGAAAACCATGCGCCTCAAAACCCTGACGCAACCCCCCAAACCCCCCCCCCCCCGTACAAACTTGAGGCTTTGTGGGGTCTCTGGGCCTAGCCCGAAACCCTAAACGGTAGGGCCGCTGCCGGCCGCGGCACTTGGCTCCGAGTCGGCGAAGCGGGCGAGAGCTGGGGGGCCGATGGGCCTAAGCGTTTAGGGTACAGGGCTTCTAGGGTGTATAGGGGCTCATACGGTTCACAAGGCTTCAAGGGTTTATTGTATAGGTTGCCAATCCGCCACGTCCGGCTTTTGTGTCCAAACTCGCAAACCCCATCATAAACTCCCTTCCTTCGGCAAACAAGCCCGCACCGACGACAAAACTGACACTGAACTCCGAAAGCCTTCCCCCCTCCCACCATCCGCCTGCAACCCTAAGCCCAGCTAAGTGGGAACACGCCCCTAAATCCTGAATCCTAGCCCAGCTGAAGGCCCCGGCCTACGAAAAGTGGCGTGGCAGCCAGTGTCAGCAAGATCTCGGTATGGACAGTGAGGGCTTTGGGGATTCGGGAGGAACATCACACAACACCTGCACCGTCGCAATTAGGACATACAGTCTAACTGCTCAGCCCTAAAAGGGTCCAGGCACCTGACCGTCATGTAGCCCCTAAGTACTAGCATACAAACTTACTCCTAAATCTTACTACATATTAGGTCTTCTGGACCCTTAGAGCAAACCCCAAACCCCTAAACCCTAAACCCTAAACGCTATGTTAACTTGCAGGCTCAAGCGGGTTTAGGGCTGAGTGCATCGGCACCGCAACACTAGGGAAGAGTGAGGCTCCTCCTCCGCAACGAAACCCAAGCCCTCCTTAGGGTTTAGGGTTTAGGGTTTAGGGTTTAGGGGTTAGGGGTTAGGGTTTAGGGTTTAGGGTTTAGGGTTTAGGGTTTAGGGTTTAGGGGTTAGGGTTTAGGGTTTAGGGTTTAGGGTTTAGGGGTTAGGGGTTAGGGTTTAGGGTTTAGGGTTTAGGGTTTAGGGTTTAGGGTTTAGGGTTTAGGGGTTTGGGGTTAGGGTTTAGGGTTTAGGGGTTATTTAGGGTTTACGGTTTATGCACACACACACACCAGACTCCAAAACAAAAAAAAAACCTATAAACCCTGCCTGGACCCTAAACCCTCCTTGTAGGGCTCTCGATTCTGATTTGTTAATACAGGTCCTGAAAAAGGTAAGCTATTTGGCAGGTAGCCCAGCAAAGTCGTGCCAGAGCCCAATTCCTCGTGCTTGACTTGTTCTTACCTATAGTCTCCATTCTAGTTCCTCTTTCTGGTTGACCAAAATCTCTATTACAGGGTCCTAACCATAAAATTGGATAACCAAAAAAGGAACTACAATGGAGACTATAGGTAAACTAGGATACCCAGTAACCTAAGAAAAAAAAGGCCTCTCTTTTTGGTATTGGGTAACTTTATAAGGAACCTAGGACTACAAAAAGGGAATCAGGGTACTTCTGGGCATCCTAGTAAACCCTGAGGAGATGCTAAGATGAGTCCCTACCTGAACCCGATGAAAACCCACCTTCCAGGACCCTCCTTGTACCCTCAAATAGGGGTATACTTGAAGGCTCATGGGACTTAGTAAGTAAGGTTATAAGTAGGTTATAATTAGGATAACCCCACTTAGGGGACTTATAACCCCACTTATAACCTATTTACTAAGTCCCATGATCCTTTAAGTATGGTGTCTAATAGAGGGTAGATGGAGGGTCTAGGTTTGTAGGGCTTCCTAGATTTCCGTATGTAAGTCCCCAAAATGCTGAGACATTCAGGGCGTCAGGTAAACCCTATGACCGGGTTTCCTCTTATAGGTGGTTCTCAAAATTAAAGTCTCTTTTTGGGTACCCTAAATATTAGGTGTCGTATTTTCATAGGGATCCAAAAAGGGATCCTAATCTTAACAACCACCCTTATGATGTCTGTCTATAAGTCCTTAAAAAGGGTAGGATCTTCGAGGAAGAAGGCTAGGATGCCCAGTAACCTAGGAATAAAAAGGGCTCCTTTTTTTGGTATTGGGTTATTTTTTATAAGGAACCTAGGACTACAACAAGGGAATCACGGTACTTCTGGGCATCCTAGTTTTTGTCGAAGGAGGTCCTAATGAAGATCCCTAAGCCAGCGGGGTTGATACGGTTATTTTATAAGAAATCCTACGAGCAATATGGATCCCCAGAAAAGTACGTTTCTTGTATAAGGAACTCCTTATCACTATAGCCCTAACCTCCGAATCCCAACAAGCCTTCAGCCCTGCAAGGCGACAAAAAACACCCACCTTGTAAGGATCCATAATATACCAGGACCCCCCGATGGCCCTTTAATGGAGCCCTTATGGTCCTCAATAGTGGGTGTTTGGGATAGAATAAAGGGTAGTTGGAGGGTCTAGTTACTTCGGGGCCGATGAAATTAGAATAGCGTCTAGGACCCGTTATAATATAATTATGATAAGGAACCCCCCAAAATGGTATTGGTAATTCTTTAGGCCCCGATATGGGTTCCCCAGTGTCACCTTAATAAGGGAGCCCTAAATCGGAAGGGTCCTACTGGGGTTTTGGGAGACACCAGAATAAGGGGCCCTAACAAGGGGAACAATAAATCAAAGGGGCACGAGAACCTAGTAATGGGTTGTTGTCAAGATTATGGTCCCTTTTGGGTCCTTATTATACTACGGCACCTAATATTTAGGGTACCCAAAAACGGACCTTAATTTTGACAACCACCCATATAGAGACACCATAATGAATAAGGAACCCAACGGAAACTCTAGCTTCTTTCGGCTACGTGCAGGTACAACCCTAAACTCTGAACTCCAAAGATGATGGGAGGCCAAAAGGGGGGTTTAAGATTCTTGGGGTAGGGTTTCCTTAATGTGAGCCCTATTATGGGAACCGTAACCCCTACTAAACCCTTTTCATTGTGAAAAGCATTCAACTCTGCAAGGTGGCCAAAGCTCGAAAGCCCCGGCGCGAGCACGGCCGCGACATGGCAGCACGGGCCCTGGATCTAAGAATCTAAGATGCACTCCCCCGAACCCTTCACCGGTTTAGGGTTTGGGCCTACACTCCACCCGAAACTAAGTTGATGTTCGTGCAAGTCCTTCTGGATGAATCCCTAAACCCAAAACGTGAACGTCTCAAACTAGCCTGGAAGCTCCGCATTCCATGTACGCGATTTTCATAGTCATGTGGAAGTCAAAGCTGAAGCCGGAGAAGCGACCGGATGCTCAAGTACAGAGGCGCGCCTCCATTCAGACTGCAGGGTTTGAAGGCCCTAGTCGTCGTGTCTACCAAAGGATTTCTGTCGCATGATCATGTGATCTTGATTCAACTCGTGAACACCCTGCACGTCGACTCCGGCCTCAAAAAACAGTCCTATACGGATTCTGCGAAACCACTACCCATAGGCCCCAAAGTAGTTCCTTTTTTGGGATTACGTTGTAGGATTCTAGGGCCTTAGGGTAACGGTATCCTGATTAAAGGCCCAATGACTTCCGGTTTGATTCACCACTGCCAAGAAATGCTTGAACAAGCCTTCTGTCAGCCAAGTGCCAAAAACCTGATCTGCCACACTGGCGGTGGAACTCTCATAAGAGACCCTATCTCTCGGCAGCCATTATATCGAACAGAACAACTGTCGAACAGTTAGCTTCTTAAACTTCGGGACGTGGCTGCTATGGAAAAGACGGACACCTGGACCCCAAAAGTATGTAGAATAATCGCCATTTATAGATACTGGGCCAAGGGGACCCTAATACAGCACCCTAAGTAGTATAGGATCTTTATTCTAAGGACCCCAAAATAACGCAACCTGATTTTCGGAAACTCTAAACATCTCTAAATCCGAAACCCTTTATAGAACCCTTATAGATGCGTTTAAGGAACCTTTAAAAGATGCCTTTAAAGGAAACCTAAGGTTCTAAGGTACCCCTAACTTTCGGAACCCGAAGCGTCGGCCTGCAAGCCCGGAAGATCTACTCATCACCCGCTCGGCCAGTACTGCTTATGCAGTGTAGAGTGTACCAGGACTCCAAGTAACCTACCTCTTTAAGGATATACATTATATATATATATATATATACTGTATATATATATATATATACTGTATATATATATATATATATATAGATATATATCATAATAAGGAGCCCGAAAATGCTCCAAAACAGCACGAGGGTCTCCTTTTTGGAACACCGTGCGGACCGTTGGGTGCACAGGTGAGCCTGCAAAGCATTTCTTTGCACCACGAAGAAGGTGGAGAGCTCTTTGGGCTTAGGGTTTAGGGTTTAGGGCTAGCAGGGTTTAGGGTTTAGTGTCTTAGGGTTTAGGGTTTAGAGGTTTAGGGGTTTAGGGTTTAGGCTTATAAAGAAGGCTCCGGTTTTCTACGGGGGCCCTGAACACTTAAACCCTAGGCCCTAAACCCTGAGCCATGAACCCCAACCCCGCAAAGCCCACAGAAACCCCAAATCCCAGAGCCCGGAACACTAACCCAATACCTGGACCCTATACAACCTTAACCCTAAACCCTAAACCCTAAACCCTAAAAACCTAAACTAAACCCTAAACCCTAAAACCCTGTAAGAACCACCAGCGACCCCTTGAAACCATACTTTCGTACCTTCCTGAGAAAATGATTATGGAACTCAAAATGCTATTTCAAGAACGGCCCGGTAAGCCATGACCTTTGTAAGTAGCCTACAAGTGCGAAATCCAAAGTCATGCTGCTGGGATAGGGTTCTAAAGGCCCGAAACCGTTTAAAAAAGCTGGCGCTCTCCCCTCGTTCTTGGTTGCCTGGGTGAGACCGCAGACCCGTTTCCGGGCACGATGCCAAACCAGAGGCGGCAGACCCCGAACCAAACACCCCATCGAGACTGAATCTGCAGAAGAATAATGGAGTGCTGTAGCGATGAGGGCTCAGCACTTAAGGTTGGGTCCTTAGGATGGGTCTAGGTCCCATAGCCCATGAAGCCCTCAATCGTGGGAAGTGAGAGGACATCCCACATCACACAAGGAATCGAACTCGCGAGCCGATCACTTGGACATTGTAAATGCTCCTTAAACTCCAGCCTCACTCGCCTCTGTGGAAAATCTGGCAACTGGCATGCGCGTGCAAGCATTACAACGAGAAAAGGGGACCCGGCTAAAGATTCGATAGAACTGGAATATAAGAGATATAAGATATCAGAATCTGCGACCATGCAAGGTTTATCACTGGCCCGAACTAGGGAACCCACTCTTGAACATGTAGCTATCATGCCCTATACATTCCCAACATGGAGTACTTGAGAGAGGATCTAGTCGAAGAGCTGACGAAGTGCTTATGCAATTCCCGATACGACCCCTTATGATTCGTATGAAGACCCTAGAAAGCAGCTACTGAAGACCCTGTAGAAACCTGGTACACGACCCGGATCGTTCTACAAAGGCAACAGTATGTGGCCTTGTGTGCTCCTGTTATGTTCGCCCTGAGAAGTCCGAGCAGGCCCTAGCATTCCCAAAGGGTCCTACGTACTGTTATGGGGGATACTTCCCTAAGTCATAATAGTAATTCCTAATATGAAAACCCTACATTCTACTATATCGGTACTTTGGACCTTTTGGGTTATAACACCAGCAAAAGGAAAAATATTGGAGCTATAATCCTTTACCCTAAGCCCCAAACCCAAGCTAAAGAAACCCTCCAAGGAATCCTTAAAGGAACCCTTAAAGCCTTAAAGGGATGCTTAAAGGAACCGTTACTAGGATACCCAGTAACCTAAGAATAAAAAGGCCTCGCTTTTTGGTATTGGCTAACTTTATAAGGACTACAAAAAGGGAATAAGGGTACTACTGGGCATCCTAGGTTAAAAGGACTCCTTAAAGGAACCCTTAAAAGGAATCCTTAAAGGAACCCTTGAAAGAATCCTTATAACTTACGGGGGGACACTAGCCTAAACCCTAAATTCAAATCCCTTAAACCCTAAACCCTGAACCTTAACCGGGACCCTAACTTCAGAGGAAGTTCAGACTTGAGGCTTCGGAACCCTAGATCCTAAACCCCTAAACCCTACCCTAAACCCCTAAACCCCTAAACCCCTAAACCCCTAAACCCTACCCTAAACCCCTAAACCCCTACACCCCTAAACCCTACCCTAAACCCCTAAACCCCTAAACCCCTAAACCCCTAAACCCCTAAACCCCTAAACCCCTAAACCCCTAAACCCTACCCTAAACCCCTAAACCCTAAACCCTTAAACCCTATAAACCTCTAAACCTTGAGGAACCCTAGATCTCCTTTTAAGAACCCTTGACAGAATCCTTAAAGGAACCCTTAAAGGGATCCTTTAAACATTGGGGAACCAACCCTAGATCTCCCCATTCTCCTTCGCCGCCTCCCCTCTGATCTGCAGCAGCCAGTCAGATGCCGGGAGAGGAAGCTCCGATGGCGATCTGCCGAGTGGTTGCTTCGCGTTTAGGGGTTTCGTGTTTCAGGGCTCAGGGTTTGGGGCTTAGGGTTTAGGGGTTTCGCGGTTTAGGGGCTATTGGGCAGTTTGGCGTTCAGGGGTTGAGGTTTTGGCAGTGTCTCGGCCCCTGGCTGCAAACCCAAGGCACGAAGCACGTTCCTGAAGCGTTGGACAAGCGGGTCGAAGCTCGAAATCAGACGTGGGACATACCGTACTTTTTCAGCTCATGAGTCGCCGCCTTACGTGGGCTGATTTCGTGCCCCCATGCTTGGCCCACGAGGAGCCGCTCACCCACACATAATCTCAGTACCAAGTGCCTGCCTTGGATAGCTGCTGATGGCTGCAAGCACGTTGATGCCAGGGATTTGGCATAGCGCCCGCAGTTCCTTGAACATTGTTTGCCTGGTTCTTGCTCCGCACCGAAAACTCTCACGGTCATGACACGAATATGCCGGCCGTCGCCTGGTCCACGACTGACCGGCATATCGGACACTTGCTACGAGGTGGTAGAAGTGCACGGAGCGATGGATATACAGAAAGCCTGCAATCTTTGCATATGGTGTGACCACAAGGGGCGAGAGCCACAAGCACTTTGGACCCAAAGCAGACGGGGCAGTGCCCTTGAAGCCCACCTGCTCTATCCTCATTATCATCCTTCACCAAGGAAGCCTGCACTGAGAGCCGGGGAGTCATGCCCTTTGCCACGTGTACAACCTGCACTTGAGGACCCTTGAAGCCTTGCTCCTCCAAGCTGCGTTTGAGCTCCTTCGCAGCTTCCTCGGCACCCCGCCTCGTCGTGTTGGCCGGAGCGAAAATCTTCAGCGTGGTAGTGGTCTCGAATCCTTGACTGTCTATAAGCCGTTGCTGGAATGCCTTGGCAAACCTCTCTGTCTGTTTCGTGATCCAAGTCTTCCTTGCGTCTGTTGCAGTTTTTAACAGTTCGCTGGCCAGAGTCATCGCGAAATTGAGACACGATCTGATGCACAGTGTCTAGCCAGGCTCAGCAGCAGCTCACAGATACGGGGCGTGCACAAACGTTCTGCTTGAGCCGCTTCATGGGGCGGTGTACGGTTTGCAAGACCAGAAATAGGGTGTAAAGCGAAGGCTGCTACTTCCTCCAAGAGTACCTATCGGTATCAACAACTTTCAAAGATAGACTGGCGTACGATTGAAGGAGATGGCGCAGGATCAAAACCTTTGGGGGGTCCTTTGCCCACAACCCTTTAATCCCTGAGACTCCAAAATCCTTCAACTTAAGACAGTACATACTAAGTTGTAGGGTTCTAGAGGCGTGCGCATTTTGAACTATGGCTACTGTGTTTGCTGCAATTAAGAGTTTCTGGAGCCTCTGTGCACAGTACAAGCCTAAGCCATGAAGCGCAACAGTTCAACACGAAAGTTCCTGCAAGCTTGCCGCTGCAGCTCACACTCTACGGTTGTACGTCGCCAGATGGTACCCAATAGAGCAATACCCTAAGGGTCCATGTCCTCAAATAGCATATACCATGGGCCCAATGTACCTACTTAGGGAGTACTTTAAGGCCAAGGTATATCCTTTTTGGGTACATGGACCCTTCGGGTTAAAGGAGCCCGTATAGTCCAAGGTGTTAATTGTTAGTAAATGTGCAGGTGCATACATGAAAACCTACACACACTACAATACTCCTCGATAATGTAGAAACACAATTGATCCACGGCAATAATATAGGGGCATAATTAATAATAATTAGAATAAGTTTTTTTGGGCGGGCTCCTTTTTATGATTATTGTATTCTATACCTGCCAAACCCTATTCTAATTATTACTGCAAGTACAGTGGCGATTCTGATGAAGCTGAGCCTCGGGATTAGGGGTTTATGTATCTCGCTGAGACGCAGTCAGCGTTTCGCCACGGGTGCACTGGGAATATACGGCCTAAGACTTAGGCTCTGGGGCTCTCGGGTTTCGGATATAGGGGTTCAGGGTTCGGGATCTCGTCTAGGCCTTACTTGGGGTCTAGTGTGGAGCACCAGATTCCCAATCAAGTCCGACGCTCTTTAACCCCCACGTAAACCCCAAAGCCTTAAACCGCCCGAAATCTGTTGAACCTATGACTGTTAGCTCTTAACTAACACCACCCTGCCCTCAAAATGCACCCGGGCCTGCAACCACTTGGTGTGGGCCACACCTTCGCATTTAGGTGCTTGGAGATTTGAACTTTCTGGGATGCTGGGTGTTGCGATTTTCCTATCACAAAGCTGGGTTTTGCGATGTTCCTACCACCGGGGTTCCTAAGCTTCATGGCTTGGTGGAAAAAGCGAAACCCTGACGTGCCCCCGAAGCATAATCGGACCCTAAACAGCGCAAAATCCCAGTCATTAATAACGACTCTTCTACTATTAAGTTCCCCAGCAGCCCTTTAACACTCAGGTACCCTTTTTCCTCCTGTTTGGTTTTACCAAAGGACTTAAGGAACCCCAAACCAAAAAAGGGCAAAGGGGTACTTCTGGGGCACCTAGCCGAAAACCCCAAACTATCCTAAACCTCTGAAATCCTAAACTCCTACATTCCTAAACCCCTAAACCCTAAACCCCTAAGCTCTAAACCCCTAAACCCTAAACCCCTAAACCCTAGAAAACCGTGGAATCACAAGCTAGGAAACCGAGCGAACGAGGACCCCGATCCCCAGCTGGGGCCCCCAAAAAGCACATAAGCAACAATGAGGATAGGAATATCCCATGTAAACCGATTTAGGGTTCAGGGTTTAGGATAGGAATATCCCCATATAACTCCCTTTCTAATGAAGCCCAATAAGGTAGGGGTATCCCTATAAAATGCTAATATGCTTATGTGCCTTTTTGGGTCCCTCACCAGCCTCGCCCGGCAGGTAGGGTGCGTTGGGCGGCTCGCCGTCCTTTGCCCCCGAGCACTTCTTTTGAGCCGGGCCCTGCTTGCGGGCAACAAGCCCTATATGATATGATATGATATGACATGGTATGATATGATATGATGTGATGTGATGTGATATGATATGATATGATATGATATGATATGATATGATATCATATGATATGTTAGGATATGATATGATATGATATGATATGATATGTTATGATATGATATGATATGATATGCTATGCTATGCTATGCTATGATATGATATGATATGATATGATATGATATGATATGATGTGATGTGTTGAATATCTGGGTCCTTTGGTGGCTTAGTTTTGATTTATGAGGTTACCTACAAGGCCTCCATTTGGGGGAAGCTTACATTATGCCTTTGAATCTCACTCCTGCTATTCTACACGGGGTCTTCGAAGGGGTCCCCTATGGGCTTGCGGATTCACGGCGAAAATCCAGTTTTCCACATGGGTAGTTGTCAAAATCAAGGTCCCTTTTTGGGTACCCTAAATACTAGGTGCCGTACTATAATAGGGACCCAGAAATGTCCGTTAATAATCATAATGATAATAATAATAACAATAATAATAATCATAATAATAATAATAAGAAGAAGAAGAAGCTTGCGCAGCTGATAATCGGCCTTACACTTTTTCATTCAGCAGAGAGCGCCTTTGCCTGGGGACGGGCGGCGTTACTTGGAGGGGCAGGGGACTTAGTATGACTTAGTAAGGGCTCTTAAAGGCTCCTTAAAGGGATCTATGTTCCTTGCAGGGATCTATGGGGTTTAGGGTTTAGGGTCTACTTGGAGGGCCAGGGGACTTAGTAAGTCGTTTTATAAGTAGGGTTATAATTGGGGAAACTCCATTTAGGGTACTTGAAACTCTACTTATAACCTACTTACTGAGTCCCCGGCCCCTCCAAGTAGGGTTAAGGGCTCAGGGTCATAACGCAGTTCGGCTCTGCATTGCTGGAGAGCTCTTCTATCCCGCCGGTCGGAGGCAAGGTTTCAAGGAGATTTGCCCAGGCTTACCATGCTTGTGCAAAGACTTACAGCCTGCAGGTTTAGGACTCTTTTTTGTTGGGGGGGGCAGGGTTTAGGGTTTAGCACATCAGGACGTGCAGTCTTTGCTTTGCCTGAAGACCTCTAAACCCTGGAACCTAAGGTACCTGAATCGATCCCTCCAGTCTTTCTTAATTACACGCCAACCCGTGGACCCCGCATCACGTCTGACACAGAAAAACCCCCGAAAACCCGAAACCCTGAATATCCAAAACGATCAACCCTATAAACCCTAAACCCTAAACCCTAAACTCTAAACCCTATAAACCCTATAAACCCTATAAACCCTATAAACCCTATAAACCCTATAAACCCTATAAACCCTACAAACCCTATAAACCCTAAACCCTAAACCCTATAAACCCTAAACCCAAAACCCTCAACCCTGTAAACCCCAAACCCTATAAAGCCTGATCCGAAACCCTCAGCTGTCCTCCCCATCCTGGAAGTAGAGGTATTCCCTCATACCTGGCAGCTAGAGTAGCCATAGGGACCCTTAGGGGGGTAGGGACTTAAAGGCAACTCCAGAAAGTTGGAATATGGATTAATGGTAGGATCCCTATAATTTACCTTAAGGGGGTTACGATAATGATATTCCAACTTTCCGGCTTCTACTGTATTAGGTCCTTATCATGGGCATTAAGGCCCCCTAACCCCCTCCCCCCACCCCCCGAAGGGTCCCGAAGGATCCCGCATACCTGGCAGCTAGCAGCTCTGAGACGAAGGACGGTAGTGTTCAGGTTTCTAGATGCTTTAAGGTTGATATAGGGTTTAGGGTATGTGTTTAGGGTTCGGGGTATGGCAGTAGGGCTTAGGGTTTTCTAGATGCTTTACCTTAACCCCAAGTAACCTACATTTTTAAGGACTTGTATAAAGAAATCATAAGATGGTTTAGGGTTTATACAGGGTTTAGGGTATGGGAATAGGGCTTAGGGTTTCTAGGGTATGGGAATAGGGTTAAGGGTATGGGAAGAGGGTTTCTAGGGTATGGGAATTTAGGGAAAAGGGTTTATAGGGTATGGGAATATAGGGTTTAGGGTTTATAAGGTATGGGAATTTAGGGACAAGGGGGTTTATAGGGTATGGGAAAAGGGTTTAGGGTATGGGAATTGTGGTGGATTCCTTATTATGGGTAATGCAGGATGTATATCAACAACCGTAGCAAACATAAGACTATCAACATTAGCAACAGTAGCAACGCAACAGCATTGACAACAAGTTCTAGAGCATTGTGATACTGCACAGTGGTACTATGATAGGCACTGACAACAGTGAGAGTCATAGGCTCAGCAGGAATAAGTTGAGTTAAAACCCCATCTACTTCTTGCCCTTGCTGTTCGTGTCGTGTTGGCCTCGAGGTCTGCTGTTCGGATTGAATAATCAACGGGGCTGCAGGAGATTTGGCATCAGGGAGGGGGGGTAACTGCACGCAGATACAAACACCCAAACCTACACGTGCTACATGTGCGGAAACTGCTCCTACGTGATCGCCGGCACCAACTAGCTTTCTGGAGATCTAAGAAAGGAGTAAAGCACCCCAAATAAACAGAACACCCGAAACCCTGTATTCCAACTCCTAAACCAAACACCTCAACCGCTGCTGAAATTATGAAGGCCCCTGCACTACCCCCCCCCTTGAACCCCGCATCCCACAAGGTACCTGTTCAATAAGCCCTGAACCAAAAAAAACAGAGTCAAGGAAGGCCCTCTAACCCCGAAACCCCTAAACCCCGAAAGCCCTAAACCCCCGAAACCCCTAAACTGCCCTAAACCCCTAAACCACGAAACCCCTAAACGGCCCTAAACCCTTGAACCGCCCTATACCCCTGTAGATCCCTTATGGATCCCTTTAAAGGAACCCCTATAGATCCCTTTATGAATCCCTTTAAAGGAACCCCTACAGATCCCTCTATGGATCCCTTTAAAGGAACCCCTGCAGATCCCTTTATGGATCCCTTTAAAAGGAACCCGTATACTTGGAGGGGCAGGGGACTTAGTAAGTAGGTTA